GATTCCTCCATCCCTCTCCGAGCGCCTGGCAAGCTACCGAGAATATCCTGCCCACATGGCAGAGCCTGGCAAGCTTCCCGTGGCATATTTGATATGCCAAAAGCAGTAACAACAAGACTCACAATGAAGATGTTACTGGTGCCTGCTCAAGCAAATTGATGAACAATGGAAGGACAGTGCTACAGTGCTACTTGGAGGTGTGGCCACAAATCCCCATCAGCCACCAAACAACCAAAACTCTAATCCCTGCCATCACTGTGGTATCCCTTTCCCACCATTAAATATTTTTAAGTGGATGAAACCCACCATACTTACTAACTTTGCACAAACACTACTTGCTCAACCTTTTGCACTATGCCTTGCTCTGGACTCATCAGTAATTTCCCCAACCACCAAGCTCCCCAGCCAGTTCTAGGCATATCCTCACAACAACCTCTCCTTGACAGCCCTTTCTGGTACTGCGGCCGTGTTGCCTCTCTTGAACAAATATTTTGAGAACTTCCTACCACTTAGATCGCTCTCTTACATCTCTCAGGTGCCTCTTATATCAGGACCACGTGCGACTACGTCACCTTCTCATCACTGGTGTCTCATCACAGATGTCTGGTCTGCTGTTGCTTAACTTGAGTACCATATCCAAGTACTTAACTTGTTTCTGTCAAACACAGATACCAATGCTTAAGTTTGCCTGGGAAATTTAAAACCCCTTTACTCCCAGGAAGCTGGTCCTTATGCTTCTCAACCCCAGGCCCTGTTAAAGAGCAGCTGTTCATGCCACTCAGGAACGGATGCACAGCATGGGAAAGCGGGTCTGTCTCTCCCTCTCTGGCAAGCTAGAATCCAGAATGACCTTTGCATGAACAATTAATGAAAGAGGTAGGCCCAGGGGGTGTTGGGAAGAGCTCTGGGACTGTTCTCTGGGCCGAGGGAGCCACTGCTGCCTGAAGAAGTGGAGGGAAGAGCCTGGAGGCAGGAGAAGGGCTAGAGGCTCCTGAGTCTGCATCATTAATCCCTGTCAGCCGCTCAGGCCTGGGCCTGCTCTGAGCCCTCCCCAGATACTGGGCAGCCATCTCACTCACAGACACCACACACACAGGCATCAACTTCCACCTATGAGTCCTGCTGCTGGGAAAGCTTGGGGGAATAGCCAACCTAACCATGGAGGGTTCTGCCCCTACAGAGTGAGTAACCGGCTCATTTCACATCTCCTGAATTGAGTTTCCCAAAAGGACAAAAGCAAGGTGGTAATAGTACCTTCTCCTTGTTTATGGAAGAGGGGTGGGGGCGGGAATCCCATTGGTGGATTTCGCTGGGACCTGGTGATGTACGCATTTGACTCATTTGACTCTCATGAACTGACACTAGGCTGGTGGCCCTACTAGCACACAGGCCTCCTGTCCCATCCTCCGCACTGGGCCTCGTTTTGTGTGTCCTTTTTCCAGACTTCTCATGAGCATGAGCTCATTAGAATTGCTGTACCTGCACCTAAAGATGAGAACAACAGGAATTATATCTTATGAAGGAATTTTTCCCCAAGAGACATTTTATCTTTGTGCATAGACAGAGGTCAGATCAGAGAGGTACACGGCATGAAGGATGTCATGCTGTCCTGGTAACGAGACTTGAAATAGTAGAACCTTTAGAGGCCAGAATGATAGTACAGCAGGGAGAGCACTTGTCTTGTACATAGCTGACCTGGGTTCGATGCCCAGAATCCCATATGGTCCCCTGAGTATTGCTAGGAGTAAATTTCTGAGTGCAGAGCCAGGAGTAACCCCTGAGCATCGCTGGGGGTGATAAAGAAATATGCTTTTTTGTTTGTTTGTTTGGGGGTCACACCCAGTGTTGCTGGGAGATTCCTTCCAACCCCAGTGGTGCTTCATGGACCACAGAGTACTCAGGATTGAGCCCAGGTTCCTGCATGCAAAGCTCAGCTGCTCCAGAGCTTTGAAACCATCTCCCCAGCCCTACATCCTGACTTTTCATTTCAGGTTTGTGTTGATCTTGAAATGCTTCTTTAGCATCTTCTAGGCATCAGGAAGGGTCCTGTAGAGGCTCCAGACTGTCTCCCTTGTTCTTCCCTGCCCCTTACTCTGATCATTTTGCTTCCCCCTTTGCCAAGATCAATACGTGTATCTTAAAGACTCAGACTTTGTCTGTAGGCTCAGCATCCCCGCGACCACTGCTCTCTTCAATTTTCTCATCCTCCCCTTCTCCCCACATAGATTTGAAAGACGGTTGGAGCTTTTTGAGCCATTTGTTCTCAATGTCCAACCGACAGAAGGTTATTTTCCCCCCTCCTACAACATCTTGGTAATTGTTTGGATAACAATGCCTTGAACACAGTAACACAAAGCAAGTCATTCCACTTTGGAATGGTTTAAAATTGGTATTGCTGAAAATCTATTTCTATGTAAATGTAAATCACAGCCCCTATTCATTTTTATCTGAATCTAATTCCTTTCATGTATGCCCCTTATTTTAAAATGTTCAGAAAGAAGCTTGTCATAGATATTTGGAAAATAGGAACAGATGATTAGGTGTCTGTCTGTGATCCAGCAACCTTACTAAAGAAATTAATTAGTTGCTCATGGTTGAACTAAAGTGAGGTCTTTAAGAGCATACCAAAAGACATTTTGTTGTTTTTCTATTCATTAAAAAATATGCTTGGAACAAGTGATTGTTAAGTCTAGAGATGAAATAAAACTAAAAAGTGAGGAGACGTGCTGGGTGACTGAATCTGGGCCCAGTATCCATAGGATGTGGTAACTGGTTGACACTAACACATGTTAGCATCAAGAAATACAGAATTTCATCATCATTGCCCCAAACAACCTGAATAAGTACAGAATAATTTCATAAGAGATCTGTGAAATACCTGATAATCAATTTTAATGACCTCATTATAAGCAAGATAGACTATGAATGGGTTGGAATAACATGTTCTCTACAGCAAGTGTGGCCGTAAGGACCCTGGGTTTATGGCGCCCGGACCACACATAGACAACACAGATCAGGCGATTCTGGGTGTCACTCTGAGAATCATGCAAACACACAAAATCATCCCGAGAAAGCAACCAACGGAGTGACTAAGGATTGGAAATCACTAGGAGATGCATTGGAAGAAACTTTGGGAGCTCAGCCCTAAGCAGAAAGCTCTTGATCTGGTGGGGGTGGGATAGAATAGCATAGCCCTGCCCGTGGATACAGTCTTAGACTGGCTTCGTGGAGTTGAGGAGGAAGAGGTGGAGGTGGCATATACAGAATTCAAATAAATAGAAGAGCCCCCTTAAGAATAGAAGAGACAGGGCTGGAGCGATAGCACAGCAGGTAGGGCGTTTGCCTTGCACGCGGCCAACCTGGGTTCGATTCCCAGCATCCCATATGGTCCCCCAACCACCGCCAGGAGTAATTAATTCCTGAGTGAAGAGCCAGGAATAACCCCTGTGCATCACTGGTTGTGATCCAAAAAGAAAAAAAAAAGAAAGTCTAAAAAAAAATAAAGAATAGAAGAGACAAAATAAAGCAAGAAAAGTAGGAATCTCTCCTGCAACAGCAAGCCTGCGCATGGGGCATTTCCTTGGAGAAATTCCGAGACTGGAGAGCAGACGTCAGTGTTAACTTCTCACAAGTCTAACAACACAAGACACTTCCAGAGAGTTTAAGACCTGGTGGCTCCCTGCCCGCCCCGGTACATTCTAGTGCTCTGGGATCTGGGAGCCAGCGCTTCCGGGCGGGGGGTGGGGGGGGGGCGTCACTTAAACCAGCTGTCACTTTGCTGTTCCTTCCTGAAACATCAGTGCCAAGCTTCCCCCCCGCCCCGCCCCCAACCTCCCCGTTTGGAAAGAGAGGAGGGAAAGGCAGGGGAGAAAGTTCTGTATTAACCTTTTCCTCCAGCGCCGGGCATTCCTGATCTGTTAGGTCAATGCCAGTTTATAACTGAACTTACAGGTTCAAGTTTCCCTTTCACAGATGGGGGGGAGAGGGGGGACTGGCGGCGCCCGAGCAGCTGCTAGACCGGGGAGTGGCTTAGAGTCAGGCGAAATTAAACCACAATCAGCGGGCTGGGGGCGGGGGGGTAATAAACAAACCAACCCAACCCAGAAGTGAGACTCAGCCCCTCTCCCTTACACCCCTATGCAACGGACTGACACGTGGATGAGGCGTGAAGGAGGGCGCAGGTACGCTGCACCCCATCGGCTTCTGGGCAGGCATCCAGGCTGGCCAAGCTTTCATCAAAGCCACACAAAGGGGCTGGGGTCCGAGGGGGAGAGGCCAGGACCCACGCGCTGGGCAAGCTGCAGATGACATCACTGCCCCGAGCCGGGGCCGCATCCGGGGTGCTGGGAGGGCGTGACTGAGGGTGGCCGGGGCGGGGCGCAGGTGCATCCTCGCGGGGGCGGGAGGTGTTTGCGCCGCTCGGGCTCCGCCCCCGCCCGTTCGTGGGTAGGAGCGTGTGCACTTGGGGGTGGGTCCGCGGTGGCCGCCTGCGCACATCACGAGCAAGCGAGCGCGCACGGAGCCGGGGGCGCCCGGAGCGGGGCTGCGGCTGGTCTCCCGGGGTCGAGACCCTCCTGGATCCGGGGGCCCCTAGCGCGCCCTCCCGCCCGCCCGTCGTCTGGACACCCGCTCCCGCCTCCTTCCCTTCCCGGCCCGGCCCCGACGGGCGGGCTGCGGAGGCCCCGACGGGCCGCGTGCGCGCGGGCACGCCCAGCGGGAGGCGCCGCTCGGGGCGGATGAAGCCGCGGCTCGGGCGTCTCGGTGCATCCGGGCCGGCGCGGCGCTACTGCTCGGGGACGCGGCGCTGAGAAGGGGCCCCCGGCGCCCCCCGGACCCGAAGCCGCAGCCCCCAGCGAGGCGCGCAAACGGGGCCGCTGTCCGCGGTGCTGAAGCGACCGGGCTGGGGGCGGCGCGCGCGCGGAGCTTGGCACGGAGCCCCCGCCCGGCTGCAAAACCAGCCGAGCCTCCCCGCGTGAAACACCCCCCCTACGGCCCCCCGCTCGAGGTCACCCCCCGAGGGGCACCAAGTCTCCAAGGCTTTCCTCGAAAGCGTTCGAGAGGGCACAGCTCTCGACCCGGGGATATCGCTGCCGCGCCCCGGAAACCGGCCACCTGGGCGAAGATGCCCTCCTTCAACAGATGGCTCCCCCCGGCCTCCCTCGTGCTCCTCTGCTGGGGTAAGTGGCAGCACCCTAACGTGCCAGGTGCAGGCGACAGGAAGGGCGCCAGCCGCGACACCCGGAGCTGTCCGTGCATGGCCGCCGGCGCCGAGATCCAAAGGCTTCCATGAAAACAGGGTCTGGGAGCGGGGAAAGCCGCGCTGGTTCTCCCTCCCCTTCTCCCTTCCCAGTAAATCCAAAATATCCCCCTTCCCCCCCGCTCCCCGCCACACACACCCCTTGGCCTGTGCTGAAAGGGGACTCACTGTCACGTTCCTTTTAAAATCTCAGCAGCAGTTTTATTTTCTTGGGCAAGGAGGAGTCATTTGCAAACCTTCCTGTCTCTTCAAATTAATACCAACATCACTCCTTTTTCTTGGGGTGAGGGGGCAGGAATGAAGCTGGATGCTTGCATGTTTTAGTGAAAATACTCCAGGCATTGATGCACCCATTGCATTTACACAAGAAATGGGAAGAAAACAGGCTTCAGCCATTTGCTGCCTTGCACCAGCTACATAGGCACCATGGAATGCCACATTTCTTCTTTTCTATGAACATGTGGGACGAAGGCGCTTTTGTGCTTGGGGAGCTGGGATTTTTGCCTGCAATGATTAGCAGGTTCCTGCTTATTTTCTGGGAAGTGAGGTGGTCTTATCTCTCCAAATAACGGGGTCCCACATGTGATAACTGAGATTGAAGATGGAGGGAGGAGGTTTATGCATGTGTGTAAAGGGAGTTAATGAGTAAATTATGGCTGAGAAAAGGTTTCAGTGTCTGCCTCAGTGTCTGAATGGATGCACTGATGTGGCATACCCTGGTGGTGTAGGCATCTGAATGGTGAGGACAGGGTGTGTGTGTGTGTGTGTGTGTGTGTGTGTGTGTGTGTAGTTAGAGCACCTCTGTCTTGAGGACCCTTAGGTTGAATATAGGTTCTCTTCAACCCATCACTTGCCTTAGTGATCTTAGCTACCTTTCTCCATGTTAAAAATTAGGATGATTAGAAGCGATTGTGCCCACCTTTCTGATTGAAACTGGTGTGCAGGACATTGCACCATTGTTGACATGAAACTCATTCTGTCTACTCAGTGGCAGATATGAGAATAATAAGTGTCTCTTTGCCCTGGTCACCAGGTTAAGTCTGTCTGCAGAATTAACTAACTCTGATGTCAGCCTTATCTGACCCAGCGGTACAGCCAAGCTTCCTGCTGAACAAAATACCCAATGAAAGGACCAATCGGGAGAGTAATGACTGTCCTAAGGGCAATTTCTTTGCTATCCAGCCCCAGGGGAGCAGACCATGATAGGTTGCCGGTGATCTCACCTGCTTTGCTGGTCTGAGGCTGGGCTGGGATCACCTCATGGGAGGTTAAGACAAGGCTTAGGAGGAAGTGTCTTCAAGGCTGCAGAAGGAAGGGTCTGAGGAAGGCAACAAGAGATAAAGTTGTAGAGAAAGATTGGAGTCAAACCCTCATCTTAAATTTTTAGGATCCCTGGGGCTGTAGTGATGGTGTAGCGGGTAGGACATTTGCCTTGCATGTGGCCGACCCAGGTTCGATTCCCAGCATCCCATAAGGTCCTCTGAGCACCGCTAGGAGTAATTCCTGAGTGCATGAGCCAGGAATGACCCCTGTGCATCACCGGGTGTGACCCAAAAAGCAAAAATAAATAAATAAATAAATAAATACATTTTAGGATCTCAGCCTTAAAATTCATGGTGGGGGTGAGGAAGAGGATTCGCAGGCCCCAGCCCCCCTACAAAGCCTGAATCGGATTCTTAGTTCCGCTGCTGAGTTGCTGTGTAACAACCTTAGAGAATTGTATTCCTGAGATTTGGAAGTTGATTTAAAAAAAAAAAATCTAGCATCCTTTCGGCTCTACCACAGAATGGCAGGGAAATATTTACAAAACATAGCTAAGATTGGCACAGTGTCCCCTCCCCCCCAAAAAAAATAACCCCATGGAAGAGTTGTGTACTTGCTCATTCTCATATCTTTCCAACCTGCATGATGCCAAGATGAAAAGCTGCCAAAGGGAGCTTGGGAAATCTGGTCGCTAAAGACAGGCAAAAGGGCGCTGCTCCAAGAAGCAGTGTCCTCTCGTGGGCGTGTCATCCCAGCACTGAAAAGCACTTGGGGGAAACAAGCGCCCTCCCCAAGCTGATTTGTTCAGTTGATGCCCATATGAATGGAAAAGTCTCCCCCATTGTTTTGTTTTCTGCGGGTTTTGAAATGCTTCTTTCCTTTAATAAACATCACTAATAGGAATGAGAATAGTAGTAATAATATGGCTGGTGCCTCATGGACTGCAAAGCAGCCTTCACCTGTTTCCTTCCTGTGGTCCCTCTGCCAACCCTTCAGGCAGTCAGGAGATGTGGCATGATTTCTCATTCAGCGATAAAAAAAAATGGGCTCGGGGTGAGAGGAGGACTTGGTAGGAGCTGGTTTCTTGATTTTGGTCTTCCAGAGCTCCTGCTAACCCCTCCCCTCCATGGAAACCTCAGAAAACCTTCTGGATGTCCCTTTTCTGAGCCTCCCACCACCTTTTGCCTCTCATAGGCTTCAGCTTTTGGCTTTCTTGGACCCATTCTGAGCTTCTTTGTCAGATTCTTCTCCCACATGTCTCCTACGTGGGGAAAGTTTGTCTTCTCCCTCCAGGGTACAAGCTCTTCTTGCATCCCTTTCTTTAAAGAGTCGGAGTGACTGGCTAACCCAATAGACCATTCCACTGCAGGCTTCTCAGGCCTAATTTCCCACGTGGAAAATATTTACATTCAAATCAAAGCCTCTATTAGTACAAGTGAACATTCCAGACAAGCTGAGGGCAGACAATAAAGCAATGACTAAAGAGAACACCTTAGGAATGATGTATGAATTAAAAATATAATGAACAGTGCTGTAAATCCTGGTATTTCAATAAAAAGCTTTTAAAAAGTTCTTTTTTTCAGGAATGATGCGCTAGAAAAAAAATAAAGTCTGAACTATAAAAAATAAAAATGAGAACTGTTTTGGAAACAAAAAATTGGTTCAGTATACATTTCTACCCACTTGATAATAGCTTGATGTTATTCCTTATTTAAATATAATCATCATGAACATGGTCTGTATCAATTCTTGTGAGCCTCTTCATTATTACTATGGAAGTTAAAGATATGAGAAAAAAAGGTCAAATAATTTGGCTGAAGTTTATTCCAGTTTAGCCTTTGCAGTCAGCAGTGGACTGAGCGCTTCCTGTATCTATGACTTTTCTTTATCTAGAAGGTTTATAGAAATGCAGTGAACTGCAGGTACCTGGGGTGGAGAGATACTGTCCCCCATGGCAGAAAGTTAGGGAGTCTGCAGGGAAGAAGGGACTTTGTGGCCACTTTGCAGTGTGCTCTCTGGGATCCCAAGGGTTCATGCCTTGCCACTGGACTTTGGCAGGCAAGAGAGCAGGTGCTGTGGGGTTTGCCCCAGAGAGAGCTTGGGTTGAGGTCATTTCCGGGGCAGCCTAGCCAAGGCCCCTACGCTCTCGACGTCATTCTGACCACTTGTCCCCTTGCTGTCATCCTGATCGCTCGTCCCCTCGCCTGCCTTAGCCACAGCTGAGCTCAGGATTTCCATTTTAAACCAAGCCATTAATTGGTCACAAGCATGTCCCAGCTCACCTGTTGAAAGGGATCATTAGCAGCAAGCGTTCCCTTTCAACCCTGAAGTGCCCTGCTACCACTTGGCCCAAGTGAAGCCCTTCTGGCTCTCTTTCCTGGGCTTTGTCACCCATGGTCATCCTACACCGTGTCAGCCGTGTCCTGTAGAGTCCATGAGATAATACGAGACCAGGCCAGGCCATTCTTCACTCCCACCTCCCTGGCCAGCCCTGTATTATAAAAGCCAAAGTTCTAATCATGCCCTACAAGACCAGCGAGGATCTAGTTCTGGTTTTTCTCCGGGGCGTCTCTTGTTTTCATGAGGGCCATCAAGGAGGGCCATCAGGGCCAAAACCAGCAAAACTGGAGAGCTAAGACAGCGTCCCACCTGCTCCCCCACTGAGCTAGGGCCCGGCCCCTCTACCATGGTCATTGCTGTCCCTTGACACCCCACACTCCCGTTCTCCCTTGCCTCCTCCTGGCTTTGGGGTGCCACCCGGCTTGCTCCCTCATTTCCTTTTTCAGAGTCTGCGCCCTTAGCCTGGCTGAGTCTTCCTGGCCCCTCTCCTCACTCCTCAGTCACTCATTGCTCCTCTCCTACACCGAGGGCAGGGACCATCTCTTGCAGCCCAGATTGGTGCCTGGCCCTCAGTATATTTCTTGAAAAAAAAATCTACAAATAAATCGTGAGTAAAAGCAACATTCACAACAACAAAAATAAAACAAGTGATATTTATACAAAGCATTCCTATTAATTAGCCCCTAGGGATTCCATGACAAGTCTATTAGGGACTGTTTTTGGGGTGAACAAACTGAGTAACTGAGTCAGGGTTCAATAGTGATGCAAACCCAGGCCCTCAATGGCTCCCTGTTGTCCTGGCTTTGCCCTTGTCCATCACTCTCCCTCTGCCTTTCCCGGGGTTCCACAGTCTGCACTCATACTTCTGTTGTGTTTCCACCCAGATTTTTTTTTTAATTTTTATTAGTGACAAACCAAGAGGTACAGTTGTAGACTTACAAATTTTTGTGCTTGGGTTTCAATTATACAATGATTAAGTACCCATCCCTCCACCAGTGCCCATTTTCCACCACCACGGATCCCAGTATCCCTCCCCCCCCACACACCCCATCTCACCCTGCCTCTGTGGCAGGGCATTCTCTTTTGTTCTCTCTCTCCTTCTGGGTGTTGTGGTTTGCAAAAGAGGCATTGAGTGGCAATCATGTTCGGTCTATAGTCTACTTTCAGCATGTTTTCCATCTTGGGAGGAACCTCCCAATGCCCTTTATTTGGTGCTCCCTTCTCTATCTGAGCTGCCTTTTTCCCTAGCATGTGCAGCTGGCCTCCAAACCATGGAGTAAACCTCCTGGTACTTATCTCGGCTATTCTTGGGTGTTAGTCTCCTATTTTGTTACTTTATGTTCCCCAGATGATCCACCCAGATTTCTTATCCAAGTTCCTCTTGTCACCTGCTGGCCATGTTTCTCTCTGCCCCCAGGGAGGCCACTGCAGAACCCCCAGCTCAAGAACAGTTTTCAAACCGATCACCATCCGTTCACTTGACACTCTAAGTCTTAACATGGCCCTCATTCTTTTTTTTTTTTGTAGGAGTACTGCTATTTATTCAGCCACTGATTAGCTGATTGAATTGTGCATGAACTCCACCTTACTTTTTTTTCCCATTTTTTATAATTTTATTTATTGAATCACCGTGAGAGCAGTTACAAAGCTTTTGGGTCTAAGTCTCAGTCATACAATGAAACACCCATACCTTCACCAGTGCCCATTCTCCACCACCAAAAATCCCAGTATACCCCCATCCCACACCCTTCCCCTGCCTGTGGGGCAGATGATTTCCACATTACTCTCTCTCTACTTTGATCACATTCACTATTTCGACACAGACCCACCATTATTTGAGATTTTACCCCAACACTCAGATCTGCTGAAAAGGCAACAATAGACAATTTGTGTTCTATTGCTGGTTATGAATAACATATGATGTCATGTGGCTGCAGTAGGGCCATGTGGTTTTGAAATTCCGAAATTTTAACACTTAAATCTGGAGGGATTTCTACCAAAAGCCACTGGGTTTAGAGATCTGCTCCTGAGTCTCTGGGATCATGGCCGTTGAGCAGCTTGATGAGGAGTCAGAGAGGCCGTTCATGGGCGATGACTTGAGGTCTCGTTGGGGTGGGGAGGACAGGCCCGGCTCCCCCACCCCCACCCCATCCCGTGAGGCCCAACAAGTTTCGTCACTGTGGGCCCAAGCCTGATTGTCCAATGGCCTCTGGAGGATGACAGCCACCAAGTTGCCAAGAGGGAGCAGGCGGAGGGACAGCACCCATTCCCCCCTGGGGTGGCCTGGCGACAGTAACCTACTGTGGGGTCCGGACACATTTCTGCCAAAAGCCGCTGGGTTTCGAGATTTGTTTCTGAGTCTCTGGGATCAAGGCCATTGAGCAGCTTGATGAGGAGCCAGAGAGGCTGTTTGTGGGCGATGACTTGGGGTCTTGTTGGGGTGGGAAGGACAGGCCCGGCTCCACCCTCCCCCCATCCCGTGAGGCCCAACAAGTTTCGTCACTGCGGGCCCAAGCCTGATTGTCCAATGGCCTCTGGAGGATGACAGCCACCAAGTCGCCAAGAGGGATCAGGCGGAGGGACAACACCCTTTCCTCCCTGGGGTGGCCCGGCGACAGTAATGTACTGTGGAGTCCGGATGCATTTCTGCCAAAAGCCACTGGGTTTTGAGATTTGTTTCTGAGTCTTTGGGATCATGGCCATTAAGCAGCTTGATCAGGAGCCAGAGAGGCCATTCGTGGGCGATGACTTGGGGTCTCGTTGGGGTGGGGAGAACAAGCCCGGCTCCACCCCCATCCCGTGAGGCCCTGTGTGTCTTGTCACTGGGGGCCCAAATGTGACTATCCAGTGGTCTCAGATGGATGGTGGCCACTGGGTCGCCAGGGGGAACAGGCCAAGGCACGAAACCTATTCCCACCTGGGTTGGCCCAGCGCCGGTAGCCTACTGCAGAGACCAGACGCATTTCTACCTAAAGCCACTGGGTTCTGAGGTTCGTTTCTGAGTCTCTGGGATCATGTCCATTAAGCAGTTCAATCAGGAACCAGAGAGGCTTTGCCACCAATTATATAGCTGAGCCAGAGGTGGTTTGTGGGTGTGTTTCCCACATACCTAACTTTTGGCCGTTTACTTTCTTGGTAAACTTTGCCCCAAGTTTTTGAGGTCTGGCCAAAGGCACAGCAGCAATTTTGGGGTATCTGAAGTCTGAAGGCGCCATGAGGCTGCTGATGCACTTGCCTCATAGGTACAGATTGATCTGCTGGCAGCACCATACCCCCGGCCCTCTTTCTTAAACTCAGGTTTGAAAATAAAAGAGTGCCGATTGGAAACAGCTTTGTAACTGTGTATCTCATGGTGATTCCGTTAAAAAAAAAGAACAGGAAATGAAAGACTCAAGCCCATGATATTGTTTAACAGGCTTCATGTGTGTGAGGCCCCGAGTTTGATCCCCACCAATGCATGGTATAGACCTCATCAGGTATAGCCTAATGACCCCTGATCACTGCTGGACCTAGGAGCCTGGGATGGGACTTGCAGGAACTCACCAGCAACCCCCCAATGCTGCATACGGCCCCTTTCTTCACATAAAGTGTGTGTTCCTTCTATAGTCTTTCCCCTTTGCTGTTGACGATTGAACCCAGGGCCTCACATCCGTAAGATAAGTCATCTACTACTGGCCCACATCCCTCACCCCCCAGTATTTAATTTTTTTTTTACTCCATTGGTATTTTGCCCTGAGCTCTAACTAGTACCCACCTTTTATTGCATTTTAGGAAGAACTGTCCCCAGCAGACATGCCAATTGATGACTTTATGCTGGACTCATTTTTATTTTCAGAGTGATGAAGTTTTCTCCCCTCTCCATTGTGATGGGGTAGGCGGGGGTGATTGTCTTATTGGAGTTCATATTGGAGGGGGGGGATCCTTGAACTTTGCCTCCGACATTAGGGGTATTGTCCGCTACCATGGAGACGGGCCCCCTGTCCAATAGTTAAACAACAACACGCAATTGTTGTTTTAATAAAAACGATTATTACTGTCTTTTGAGGGTGTTTCATGCCAAGTTCCTCTAGTCTTTTTCTTTTTTAAAGGTTTTCGCAATTTATACGGAGGATGTGGCTTTGCTCTCAGCCTGGTGCATGCACACACACACACATACACACACACTCACTTTGTTTTCACTTTGTGTGTTTGTGTGTGTTTGCAATGCTGCTTCATGAGGGCCCTGATGTGGGAACCCTCGGGACACATCTCCCTTGGCTCTTTCTTACAGTGAAGTGGAAACTCTCACCAAGTAGGAATAATTTTTGACTTTGTGAAATTTCAGCATCAGAACATTATTATTATTTTTTTTCCTTTCAACTGAGGGCTAGAGCGATAGCACAATGGTTGGGCATTTGCCTTGCACGCGGCCAACCCGCCTGACCCAGGTTCAATTCCTCTGCCCCTCTCGGATAGCCTGGCAAGCTACTGAGAGTATCTCGCCCACACAGCAAAGCCTGGCAAGCTACCCATGATGTATTCGATATGCCAAACACAGTAACAACAAGTCTCACAATGGAGATGTTACTGGGCCCGCTCGAGCAAATCGATGAACAATGGCAGGACAGTGACAGTGACAGTGACAACTGAGGAAAACGTCCTTCCTTGTAACTTTAGAGGGTACCCGTCAACCCTCCCTTGTAGTAGCAGGACGTGTTCTGTGTTGGAGCCGAGATCCCAAGTGCTCCCGTCTGCTCCTCCTGTGCTGGCCCCAGCCCTGGCACACACGCGGCTCACAGCTTCCCTTTGTCAAATGAGACCTGGGAACAGTTGGGGACGCTCCAGATTTGTTCTGAGCAGCATGGAGGCACGCTTCTCCTTCACTCTGCATAGCACCCGTCTGTCGCGCTCCCCACATTTGCTGTTGCCGTGTTGGCAGCTACGCCCCACTCTGGGTCCACTCTGCATTTGCAGTTAGGAGTACGTGCCTATTACTCTGGCCTGGGAGTTTGTAAAGGCAGTGCCCATGGTTCCGGCTTCCGTGGACAGGCGTCCTGTCCCACTCTCTTGCGTTTCAGGGTTTTGTTCAGTTTGCTACTGCGGGGCTTAGCCCCGGATCGCTCGCCAGGAGTGCATGACCGCTCAGCCTTCCCCCTGCGTCGGATGCCCTGTACTGTCCACCAGCTGGAGATGGCCAGTCCCCTTGCTCTCAGCAACTGACCTGAGCTGGGCGGGGGGAATGTTGGCAGAGGTGGGTATGATGTGGGTCCTGCCAGCCTTCCCGGCCTGGTGCCTCTCCAACTGCCCCTTCCTCTCCCCAGTCCCCAAGAGTCTTTGCTTCTCTGGAGAAGAGCACAAGGCGGGGTGTGTGTGTGTGTGTACACGTGTGTGTTTGTGCATGTGTGTGCATGTATGTGTGTACATGCGTGTATGTGCACATGTGTTTGTCCATATGTGCACATGTGTACATGTGCATGTGTGTGCATGTTCACATGTGTGCATGTGTACGTTTGTGTGTATGTGTATATGTGCACACGTGCGTATTCGTGCATGTGCACACAGATGCATGTGTGTGTGAATATATATGCATGTGCGTATGTGTGTGCTTGTGTGTGCACGTGCACATGTGTACATGTGTGTGTGTTGCTCAGACAGAAGTGCCTTTATGGCTGTCTTGTATCTTGACTTTGGCTTTGTGGTCCCATCTCAGACAGAGCAGAGTCAAGTTTGGGGTCTGTTGGTGAATGGAGTGGGACGTGGAGGGTCAAAGGTGGGGGCAGATGCTCTAAGCACCATGTCCACCACATCCCCACTGTGTCACCGGTTGGTAACCCACCCCTGGCCTGCTTCAAGGGTGCACATGGAGGGGCCAGGCAAGGGCTCTGGGCAAGGCCTCATGCTTCTCCCCCTCTCTCTGCCGTCCAGCGAGCGTCTGCGTGCCTGTGTGTGTGGAGGTGCCGTCGGAGACCGAGGCCGTGCAGGGCACCCCCATGAAGCTGCGCTGCATCTCGTGCATGAAGAGGGAGGAAGTGGAGGCCACCACAGTGGTGGAATGGTTCTACCGGCCGGAGGGCGGCAAGGACTTCCTCGTATGTTTCTCAATCCCGGGGCCTTGCTGGGTTCTGCAGGGCATGCCTGCCTCCTGTGTCTGGGCCACGGGGGCCTGATGAGGCACTATGGGGTGGGTGCTCTGGGCAGGCACTTGGCAGGGGCGCCAGGGTCCTGTGTCCCTGAGGAAGGAACAGGAATCGAGGCTAAAAGTCAGTAGCGCCACTTGGGATTTAGTTCATTCCACTCGCATGATCCCAGGGGAATGGGAAAAGCCAGTGCTGACCATGGACAGCATCCAGTGGGCACTCAGCAGGCCCACCCGTGAATAGAGCAGGAGGCTCTGGGTTTGATCCCTGGCACCACGATGAACAGCAACAAAATGTCTCTATTTCCATAGTGGACACGTGCCCTGTGGTCTTCCACGTGGCCTCCCAGTCCAGACACAGGTGGCCAGCATGCTCTCCGCCCATCTCCCTGGCCCCCCTCACCCACGCTCTGGCCTCTCCTTTCAGTCCTTCCTTCTTGACTTCCCCCTCTGGGCCCTGGCAGACCCTTTATTCCTCTTCCCACCATCCTTCTTGTTTTTGGAGGGGGGAATGGGGTCCCCCAGGTGGTGCTCAGGGCAATGTGTGGCTCTTTAGTGCTCAGAGGCCTCCAAAGCCATACAGGTGGTGCTGGGAGTGGTGCTGGGTCCAGACTTGCATCAGAGCACCCTGACCATTGAGCCACCTTCCCGGCCCCCCACCTCTTTTCTTCTCCCCTTTCTGGGCCCGCCTGAATCTTCAGATGCCACCGCCTCCTCCAAGCCCTGAGTCTTCAGATGCCACTGGGGCCACACTCTGGAGCTCCCCATCTGCTGTCCCCTCGCAACCCCGTCTGTGTGTGGTTTCTGTCTTTTCTCCCCGACTCCTTGGCCTGCCCACCTGGGCTTCTCTCCCGCAGATCTATGAGTACCGGAACGGCCACCAGGAGGTGGAGAGCCCCTTCCAGGGCCGCCTGCAGTGGAACGGGAGCAAAGACTTGCAGGACGTGTCCATCACGGTACTCAACGTCAGCCTCAACGACTCGGGCCTCTACACCTGCAACGTGTCCCGTGAATTCGAGTTCGAGGCTCACCGGCCCTTCGTGAAGACCACGCGGTTGATCCCCCTCCGGGTCACCGAGGAGGGTGAGTGGGGACCTGGGGTCACCAGAGCCCTGGTCTCCAGGGAGGGGGAGAGGAAGGAGGCAGAGAGGACAGTGAGTTTCCCAGACACGTGGGCCTTGTGGGGTGCAGGGCCTTGTGGTGGTGACATCGCTGACCTGTCCCTAACTCCACCCCCAGAACCTGCCCCTGTTTCTCCAAGCGCAGGAGCTTGGCAGGGGTTGGGGATGACATGGCTGTGTGGGTCTCCCTAGGTCAGGGGGAGCCCAGCTGCCCAGAGCCAGGAGCCGTCTGCTGGTTATTCCCTCTGTAAGCTGCATGTACCCCTCAATGGGGCTAGAGCCTCGGCAAGTCTGCAGAACCTGCTGGCCATGCCCAAACCCAGACCCTGGCTGCCAGCAGCATTTGTCTCACACACTTTCTCACTGTGTCCCAGCAGGGGCCAGTGGTCTCCAAGGTGTCCAGATACCTGGTTCCCTGCTGGACAGGGGAGGGCCCCCCATTTGCCTGAGTCTGTGCTTCCTGCAGTTTGGACTTTGGGGTGACTCTTGGGGGGTTGGCATGCCACGGGCTGCTGCGCCCCGCAAAGGTCCCTTTACTTCTCTCTCTTCCCATCCAGCATCCCAGCTTGGGGGGGATCCGTCAGGGAAACCACCTGCTTTCTCAGCCCATTTCTAGTAGGTTCTGATGCTCTTGGTGCTGCCCCATGCAGGGCGAGGGCAGAGAAGGGGGTGGGGTGCACAAAAGCTCACACCAAAACCATCCACAGAGGCCTGATCCCCAGTTACATACATGTTCTGTTACTGTTTTTACCCCGTAACCGTGAATAAATTCACGAAGCGGACTTCAGGGCAGCTGACAAAGGGGAGGAGGGTCTCGGCGTGACGTCACATGACTGAAAGGGAAGACAGGTCAGTTCTCAGAGTGGACACAGAGCTTGGGCTGTGAGAATCCGGAGTCCTGAGCCATGTACCCTGCTGGGCCTGCTGGGCCTCGTCCCCTGCTGGGCTCGCTTTCTGGGTCCACCCCACGCTTGGCGGCTCTCCAGGGATTCTCTTGTTTACACACCTGCCCTCCCTGGGGACGGGTGCTGGCGCCCTCTCCTGGTCACCGCCAGGAAGTGCCACCCTCAGCCAACCCACCTGCGGCACCCAGGGCCGGCCTCGGATGAGAGCAGCAGGAAAACAGGGTTGTTGCTAGAGCCACGGGTCTCCCAGGAGCACCAACTGGAAGGAAGAGGTGCGCTCATTAGCTGGCGTCCTCCACCCCGCGCCCGGGGCCTTCTCCCCAGGTGCACAGGAGGTCAGGCAGGGGTGGTGTATGTGGGGGGGGGGGGGCGGGGGAGGGTGAGCAGGGCTCCTGGGGCGCTAGGAGAGGAGATAGCTCTGGATAAACGAAGGGCTGGCCTGGGCGTGGAGAGGAGGTGCCCAGGGAATCTCCTTGGTTCTGTGTTTTAAGTGGGGCTCATCCTGATGCAAGTTCTTATCTCCTTCTACCTCCCAAAAATCCGAGCTCGCTCACCTCAAGGGGATTGGAGCAAAGCCCCTCTTTTCTTTTTTTCCTTTTTGGGTCACGTCCGGTGATGCACAGGGCTTACTCCTGACTCTGCATTCAGGAATCATTCCTGGCAGTGCTCCGGGGACCACATGGGATGCTGGGGATCGAACCTGGGTTGGCCTCATGTAAGGCGAATGCTGTCCCTGTTGTACTATCGCTTCAGCCCCAGGAGCCCTCATTTAGACAGCGGCCGAGCAGGAGTGGACACGAGAGAGCCATGTGGCTTTGGTGGTGTCCCCAGCTCAGGCAGGAAGCCTGGAGCCCTCGGGCTTCTCTGGGCCATAGGATGACTGTGGGTGCCATGCTGGGCTTGAGCGGTGAATCCTGCAGGTGGCTGCATCCTAGGGGTGACCCAGGACCAGATCTGACCAGCCCAAGGAGGCTGGGACATTTGTCACATGCCAGAGTTTTTTTGGTTTTATTTTTTGTTTTGTTTTTGCTTTTTGTTTTGCTTTTTGGGTCATACCCGGCAATGCACAGGGGTTACTCCTGGCTCTGCATTCAGGAATTACTCCTGGCAGTGCTTAGGGGACCATATGGGATGTTGGGAATCGAACCCAGGTTGGCCGCATGCAAGGCAAACGCCCTACCCGTTATGCTATCACTCCAGCCCCACATGCCAGGTTTCAACTGTCGCTCTAGGCCAGGGGACAGAGACAATCTATATTTATATTCATCCATTTAACAGGTATTAGTTGAGGAATTCAGCTATAAGAGGCAAGTGATATAGATCCAGATGAGACACTTCCCTGAGGCTGCAGCCGGGAGAGACCCATGGAGGGTCACGTTCATTTCCTTGGCCTGGGGTAGCACCATCATCTAGGCTCCGAGGACATGGGCTGCCACCCTGAGACGAAGCTCTCAGGCCCAGGGGAGGGGGGAGAGACCCCTCCCCTCTGGGGGGGGCAGTCAGGAGTGTGGTACAACTTCACCTTAGAGATCAGAGAGCCTCAAGGGACACGAGCAAGCAGTTCAAACACTGTGACTTATCTCCATCTGTTTGTCTGTCTGTCTACTACCCACCTTACTGCCCACCTACCTACAGCCTACTGTCCAGTCTCACCTTCCTCCCTGCCCGCTGCTGCTTCTCGCTCTGACAGTCTTTCACCTCTCTCCAGAGCTCCTGAAAAGTCAGCGAGGAAGCCTTGGGAAGGGGGTTGGAGAGTCCCTGGGCCCTGCACTCCCTCTAGACTCCATGCTGAAAAGTTCATCAATGATGGCCCACAGCCCGTGGGAAGGCAAGCAGGCTGGAAGGGGCCAGGGTGGAAAAGCATGGGGACGCACCACTTAGCCAGCGCTTAGCCACACACAGATCCGGAGGGCCTCTGACCTGCGACCCTCTGGTGGGTGGCCCAGAGTCTTAAGCTACCTCTTTCCCTTGCAGCGGGCGAGGACTTCACCTCGGTGGTCTCCGAGATCATGATGTACATCCTCCTGGTCTTCCTCACTCTCTGGCTGCTCATTGAGATGGTTTATTGCTACAGGAAGGTCTCCAAGGCTGAGGAAGCAGCCCAGGAAAACGCGTAAGTCTCCAGGCCTGGAGCCATAGTCCGGCAGGGAGGGCATTGGCCTGGCGTGTGGCTGACCCGGGTTCGATCTCCAAGCATCACGTAGGGTCCCGTGAGCACCACCAGGAGTGATTCCTGAATGAAGAGCCAGGTTGAACCCCTAAGCATCACAGGGTGTGACCCAAAAGCCAAGCAACAAACAAAAATCTCAAACAAACCAAAACAAAAAGAAATCGCGAAAGTCTAAAGATGCCGGTTACTGCTTCAGGCGAGGTACAGCTGAGGATCATGAGCCCCTGTAACCCACAGCCGCCTCTGAGGTGGGCAACATGAGAACACGTGTGGCAGACACGAGGGACAGGAGCCTGTTTGTCCCAAAACACAATTTGAGGGGCTGGAGCAATAGTACAGTGGGGTGGGCACTTGCTTTGCATGCCCTGTCCAGAATCCAGGAATCTCTAAGCTTAGAAATTCTTTAAAACAAAATGATGCCTCAGTCAGTGAAGGAAATGAAAGACCATTCTGTAGGGACCCACCTTCGTGGAGGCTGAATCGGTTTCCCTACACAATGCACTGCTGCATCTTACTGGGCAGCCCGAGCCCAAACTAGGAGACACGGCAGGAAACAATCCCCGCACAGGCCAGAAACGAGACACGGGGTGGGATTAATTAAATTCAGGAACTTCTGAATCAAAAGGAGCTGAAGGGGAAAAGTGGGTACATTTGCTTCAGAGGGATTGAGCAACCAAAGAAGAAACGAAAGCATCCACCTAAATGTCTAAGGAAAAAAAAATACAGGCAGATTTGAGTAGAAATTTTTAAAAAAAATTCTAGAAGTGAAAAATCTAGTCAGCGAAATTGCAAACTCACTGGATCGATCCATCAGATTAGATGCTGCTGACTTGGGGGTGACTGTCGGGAAGTTGCACAGAACTGGGAAACGATGGGGTGCAGGGAGAAACAGAAGGGTCAGTGCTGGGCCCAGGACACCCCTTGCACCACTGGGGACCGTGAGGGTCCAGTGTGCATAGGAGAAAGGAGCCCCGCTATTCTTCCCATGGAAAGGGGCACTGTCATTCCCGCCTCGGCAACAGGGCCAGGAGCCATGGCAGTCGTGCTGTAGATGGCCTCAGACGGCCTCGCCACTATGACCTCGCTCTCCCCTTCCTCGTTTTCCCACTCGTGGGTACCGCAGCCCTGATTCTCTCCTGCCCTCTGCCCGCTCCAGGTCTGACTACCTTGCCATCCCTTCGGAGAACAAAGAGAACTCGGTGGTGCCCGTGGAGGAATAGAAAAGGGTGTGGCGTGCAGGTGATGTCCAGGGAAGGGGGTGGAGGAAGTGGCAGTCGGGATAGGCAACTTTCAATTTGGGTCCCCGTCCGTCCTTCTCGGAGTCCCCACCCCCCTGAAGAGCACGGATGCTCGAGTGTGATGATGTCAGGCCCGTTGGACAATGAATCGCTCCGGCCTTCACTTACCCTTGGACCCTGAGGTGCAGCTGCCAAGGTCTTGCACTGGGCTGGGCTGGGCGGCAGGGCTGGATGCTGAGCGAGCTTGTCTTCTCGTTGTTAGGTGTCCTGAGCACTGAGCGGTTCCATATCCCAGGGTCAGTGAAGTCAGCAGCTCCAGGAGGGTGTCTGGACCCCCCCCCCCGGCTTCCCCTCATGGACCCTCCTCTAGTCTCACTTTCCCCTCCGACTGCCCCCTGATGCCATCAGCCCACCCTGCTCTGCCCACCTGAGGAGCTGCCACCTCCACATGGACTCGGCCATGCCCACAGCAGCTGGACATCTCCCCTGTACTCCCAGTGACTGGCCCACACACCCCTGGGCCTGCTTGGCCAGAGCCGGCCCCCTGGCTAGTGCTGCACACCCAGGGACGTCTTTGTGAAGGTCGCAGATGGGACTGGTTTGGGAGGAGTAGAGGAACCTCACGGCAGGGGATTCTGCACAGTTGGTTTCTTACAAGTCCCTCACCCACGTGATGAGGGCATCGGAGCCAGGCTGGCCTCTCGGGGTCCCCATGGATGGAAGGTGTCTTTCGACAGACTGACACGAGAGCAGGGGACCCCCTCGGGAGATCCCCAGTGGTGTCTGCGGAGACCTGGCTTGGCCTTGGTCAAGAACTCAAGGAGACACGTCCTACAGTCCCCCTGGCCCTCTGTGGGCAAATAGGGCCGTGCCCTGGCAGGGGTGGAGACCACCCTGGGTAGCTGGGAGGCACTTTCTTCCTCTGGGAATTGGGACAAAGAAGTCTTGAGTTCTTCCCCTCAGCATTTCTGCGGATCAGTGTTATTCCTCAAGTTCCAGGAGACGAGACTGAGACAGGGGTGAATTGCGGGTCACTCGGGGACAGGCGGTGGGCTTGAGGGCCACTAGTGCTGTCTCCCTAGGTGGGGGATCTCGACCTCTCCCAGAGATTTGGGCACAGAACTAGTAGCAAACAGGCCTCGGTCCCAAGCATGAACAGGGCATGAGGTTAATAACTGAATGAGGAGACGAGGCGCTGTCGGACAGGAAAGGAAGGAGCAAGATCGGCTCACACACACTCCTTAGCCGGGAGGGCAGGCGGGCCCGAAGCCCTCTGAAGCCGCAAGTTTGGGAGGAGGCAGAGCCAACCTTCACTGTGCACATCCTCTGTGCCTGGGTGTTTCCTTCTCGAGCTGCAAACGCTTATTCTGTTCCTTACTGGGTCTCGAGGGTGGGGCAGGGGCAGGGCGAAGGGTGGTGGGATGGTGGGATTTACGGAGCAATACCACCTCCTCCCCACCTTGCCCTGGCTCTGGGACTCACCCAACACTCTCCCCACCTCTGGGGAGGAATCGGAAACAAGTCTGAGGGCAGCTCAGTGGACAGCACATGCCTTCAGGTTAGGTCCCTGCACACACACACACACACACACACACACACACACACACACACACAGAGTCAATCCAAGAAAGAGTCCACACACACATACACTCACACACACACACACAATCCAAGAGTCCATACACACACACACACACACACACACACACACACACACACACTGTCAATCCAAGAAAGAGTACATTGGAGTTCTTGGTGAAAATGCTCTCCTCTCACTGGCCACTCCGTCCCTCTGCCAGAGACGCTAGGACCATGGCACAGCTTGTAATGAAGCCACTCGCCACCCCACCCCTACCCCACCCCTTTCTGCCTTCCTCTTCCTCCCTGTGGCCATGTATTGAATGCATCGTCCAGGGACATGCCTGCCCCCATTTTTTAAAAAAGCCTGAGCCAGATGCTTCCTTTCAAGTAATAATGGTACCTATCACTTTTTTGGGGGAGGGGTATACACCTGTTGATGCTCAGGGGTTACTCCTGACTCTGTGTTCAGGAATCACTCCTGGCGGTGGGGGAGGGGGGAGGCTGGGGACCAGAGGGGATGCTGGGGTCAGCAGCATGTGAGAGAAATGCCCTACTCTCTGTACCTTCTCTTGAATCCCCATCACTTTTTTTCTTACTCTTTCCAAGTGAGATTTGCCACTTCCCACCCTCCTACCCAACACCTTTTTATTTTTATGTTTTGAACTTTGCAACTCTGCCATCCTTCCCACTCAGAGCAGAGTGGTGGATCTTGTGGTGAGCGGAGGCTCTTGGGGGCTCTACACCTAATCCTGAGCTCACACAGCTGCGCGTGGGGAAGGGCGAGAGCCAGCCCTCCTGGCTCCCAGCAGGTTCTCTGCCCATTCAACACAGCAGCGCCCTCTCCTCGTCCTCGGCGTCCATCCGGTCTTTGCCTCTTGCTTGTCTTGGCGTGGCCAGCCTCTCCTCTCCGGTTCAGCCCCCCTGGCTAATCCTCCACCAGGCTTCTCGGCAGATGCCAAGAACCTTGCCCTGAGAACCCATCCCGTGGCGACTTTCCCTTTCTGCTTGACCTGTCTGTGGTTATCTCTCAACTGTGACGGAATTCCTTCCTGGGAAACTTGATCGTGAATCTACAAGGTCCTGTGACCACCAGCTGATGTCCATGCCTCCCCGCTTTCTCCCATCTCTCCAAAGGCCCCCTCCTGCCCCCCCCCCCCCCCCCCGCCGGGCAGTGCTCTGGAAACTTTGATCTGGCACCTGGTTCTCCTGAAAGGGCTTCGACATGTTCTCAAGGGCTATTCACTTAGGGGACCCATCTGTTGTCTCGGTGCTGGCTAGTCCCTCCGACTGGGCCTAAGCAACACAGTTCACTAGTGGGCCCGCTGGGCTGTCCTTCCCCTTGTCTACACCGCGGCAGCCACACGGGGCACACCCACCCCCCCCGACTGGTGGATACCCTCTCCTCCGTACTCCTTCTTATCCCAAGCCTTAGTTTTATCCCACCCCGCCCATATCCTTTTGTTTGTGCCCAACCCCAAACATCCACGTGCTCAAGATTTCCTGCTTCTCGGAGATGAACAAACTAGAAATGATAACAGGAAAGGAATCAGAGGAGGAATATGCTGGAAATAGGTGTGCCGTGGGTCACCCTTAAAGACGGGGGCTCTCCCTCACCTACCAACCCGAGCCACCAGATCACAAAGGCCGACACCCCATCGCAGAGCTGTGGGCCTGGGGAACGGCCGTGAGCTGCACGTGGCAGGCAAGAGGAGCTGGACCGCGGTTCCAGAGCACGGACAGACCCAACAGGAAAATCCCAAGATCTATCCTCTCCCCTTCCCGCAATGGAGCCTCTGCTGCAGTACTGGGGTGTCCACGGGTCCCACCGTCCAGTCTTCATGTCATTCCCCGTTGGGACACCAATCCACCTGTCGCACTGTCCTTCACAGGTCTGAATAATAGCAGACAAGCCTCCCCCGCTCCCGAGCCCCGGCCATGGGGGCTCCCCGCTCGGCCCCCAGTGGGAGTTTGTAGGACATTAAGCAAGTCTGAGTTGTAGCTCAGACCCCACCGTGCTCATGGGGCCCACAAACCGCATCAGAGCTGCAGCCCCGTGCTGTGCTGTGGCCTGGGCCGGGGAGGGCTGAGCCACTGTCACCGCCTGCCACCACGGGCCCTGCGTGCGGCCCTTCCTCCATTCTCCACAGCCGGTCTCTCTCTGAACTAGGGAAGTGGCTCCCACCCCCCACCCCCCCACCCCCTGATGCCTGACTGGAGCGTGATTTCCAGCAGATGCCTGTGATGTCAATAAAGTGTCTCCAACCCGTGCGCTCCGTTCTCTCTCCGCGGCAGTGTGACCGCTGCCCCCTGCCGCCCCCCCCCGCCCCGCCTGCCTGTGTCACCTGACCTCAGCCAGCCAGTCGCTGGGCCAGGGAAGGTTCAGTCCACTGTGTATTACTACTGAGTGCATGCTCCACCTCCCGTTGCCCATACAAAGGTGTACACCCCGTCACCCCAAGTGGCCGGGGTGCGTTAGAGAGGGGCGGCCTGTGTTCTTGGGGCCAATATTTGAGGGCTCGGAAGACCCCCAGACTGAAGCTGTCTCCCACTGCCACCTCTTTTGGCTTGGGCTCCCGAAGGTAAAAGTTCAAGTCACTGGCCCTGCAAGTCCCCAGACCCCCTCACCATCTCCACGGCCTCAGAGATGCTGATAAGGAAGACAGCGGTGGGCCGGAGCAAGAGTACAGCGGGGAGGGCATTTGCCTTGCACATAGCTGACCTGGGTTTGATCCCTAACATCCCATAGGGTCCCCCCGAGCACCACCAGGAGTGGAGTGATTGCTGAGTGCAGAGCCAAGAAATCCCTGAGCATCACTGGGTGTGACCCAAAAAGCCAAAAAAAAAAAAAAAGAGGGAAGCTAATGGTTCCCTTAGTCCATCATCCTATTCTGCCACACATGCACAGGGACAGAGTTGGTCTGGTCACCAAGGTGACCGCGAGGTCAGCTCCCTGCCCCGGCCTGCCTGTGGGAGGAAGACGAGGGTCCTCACGACCACAGAACTTGCCCCGATTAAGCCCGAGGAGCCCAGACACCTTGAGGGAAGGGTAGACAAGCACCCAGGACTCCGATAATAAACACACACACCACCGATGACGTGTAATTCAATACTTTTGTCTTTTAATTCATACTGTTCTTCCATGATTCTAGCTACTTTACAGTAAGATTTGGCTGGGAAGCCGTGTATGTTTCTAGGAACTAGCAGTTAAGTTTCCGGACCTTGCGCCCAGCGCCAGGCAGATACAGTTAGAGATCCAAACACAGGCGGCCGGGCCCCCTGCGATGCACCAGGCCAGATTCCCGCCCAGAGCTGGTGCCGTGCGGGCAGGGGGGGGCCCGCTCCCTTGGCCTCGCCCCACCCCACCCCCCGTCAGGAAGATCCAGAGGCCACTCTGGCCTTGGGCCTGTTCTTCCCCACGAGTCTCCACTGAGTGTGTGTGTGTGGTGGGGGGTGGGGCGGGGGTAAGCACCATGGGTTTGGGAAGATGGTCTGGTCCATGCAGAGAGTGATCTGGCGGGGGAGATGCAGGCCACACAACTACTGTTGGCAAAATGACTGCGTCGGTGATGAGACCTCGGCACGGGCCCCCCCAGTCCAGGGCTTACGTTCCTGACGGGCCGCCGCGGCCGCCGCTGGCCTGGGCAGCGCTGTGTGGCAGGAGTGTCCTTTCCGCCTTCACATGTTGGGGGAGATTGTCTGGCATCTGTTCCTCTTGGTAGGCAAAGGTGCTTCTGGCCAGGAGCCCGGCCTTCAGTCCAGGCTCCCCGGCCGGCCGAGGGCCTCAGGTCACAAAAACCATGTCCAGGACCCCCCCGAGCTGGCTGGGCCCAGAGCAGCGAGGACACGACAGCCGGAGCAGGAGTGAGGTAACAAGGGCGGGCAGAGAGGGGGGAGGGGCACTCTCTACACCGTGTGCAAAGGTCTGCTCCGTGGCGGGGAAGTGGGGCGGGGGGGGGGGGGGGGCAACGCAGAGACAGCTTCCAGAAAAGACAGCGAGAACAGCGGCAGTGCTCTGCCCGGATCCAAAATGCATCTTCTGGAAGAAAACCGAGAGGTGGAGGGGCGGAGGGCCAGCCTGCTAGGACTTGGGGATGAGGGCCCAAGGAAGCCGGGGGATGTCGGGGACGACTGTTCCACGGCCTAGAGGCCAGGGGCCGGGGCGATGGCGGGAGAGACGGGGCACATACACCACCTGGGAGAGAGGAGAAAAGTGAATTTTCTCCTGGGGTCCTCGGGAGGAAGGGCAGGTGGGGTCTCCTGAGACCATGACCCGCCAGAAAGCCCCCCCCCCACTGTCTAGGGTTCCCCCCACCGCTGCCTGTGGAGCATCAAAGTGGTTCACATGCGGGTGGCCGGTGGGGACCTGCAGACCACTCCTATCCTCGCCGCCCCAAGAGCTCGATTCCCCCCCCTGCCCCCAGGGAGTGCTCTAAGACCGCCCAACGCTGTAAGCTCGGAGTTTCACAGTTCATCAAATACAACTGGCCCTTAAGAGAAGTGCCAGAACCAGCAATGGCTTCTCTGCAATCTTCTTCGGGCGAGGAAGATTGGCACAAGGGCACATGGCCAGGATGGAAGATGACCCCCCACCCCCACCCTGTTGGGCCCTCTCATCACTCTCCTCCTCCTCCTGAGAGAAACTCCCAGGAAAGGTCCCTGCCAGGCAGAAATGAGGCACAGGAAGGAGAAAGACCCTTCAAGGTCAATACTGACCCAACAACATGCCCAATCTCCCCCTAGCCTTTTCTCTCTCTGTCTCTCGCTGGGCCTCCAGAGCTGCCCAGGAGCCCATGAAGAACTGAACTCTCCTGGACGCCTGGGAACCCACTAAACACGGGAAGCTCGAGCTCAGACTTGGCTCCACTGCCCACTCCCTCCACCCCCCGCTGCCCTGGGCACCGTCTAGGTGCGAGCCCGGACCATTTCATGCCCTGCCCCTAAGTCTAGGCAAATGCTGGAACCATCCTGCAATGCTCCAGCTGCCCATGCCTCCCATCAGAAATGCAGGGAGGGAACAGCTTTGCAGTAACAGAACCGGGACTGAGCCTGGCCCCCTGGCCCGCTGCAGTACCAGGAGAGAGTGTCCCTTGTCCGAGGGAGGCGGTGGGGGAAGTAGGCCTGGCCTCTCCAAGGCCCACTGGGCCGTTCCTTCACAGCAGGTTGGGCCTCGCATCCTCGAGGGGGCTGTCCTGGTTAGACACTGCAAATTCTCTGACACAGAGAGAAACGTCTCCAGAGACAGCCCCGTTCCCCGCATTCTTACGTTTATGGGAAAACGCTCAGGAGAGTTCGCCCTGTAAAAGTTTGGCTGGCCCTGCAGATAGCGCCTGTCCATGTGGATTCCTGGTCCAGGTTCCTCTCCAGATCAAGGGACCCCACGGCTGGCTGAATATTCGAGCTAAGCTTCTGGAGACTTGTGGGTTTCCTCCCGGTTTAAACATCAAACAGCGCTTAGAACGGGAGTGTCCACGAGCATTCTCCAATGCTGAGGTGCCAAGCCCCAGGGCACCTTCTCTCTGAGTCCCATTATCACCGTGTGCCCCAAACCATGAGGGTTCCTTGGACACACTCAAGACCCTTTGTGGCACCGGCTCATCCCCTGCGTGGTCCCAAGAAGCAAAACCTGGCTGGGCTGTCAGACCTGTGTCCCCTCCGCAACCCTCCCCTACCCCACAAAGACCCTCTGAAACCATTCCAAAGGGCCTGCCAGGGGACAGTTACAAAAGGAATAATTTAAATAAATAAAAGTCTCTGAAATAAATTAGAGTTAGCAAAAAAAAAAAAAAAAAAAAGGAGTTTTGCTTTCTGAAAGGTTTGGGAGTGATTTTGGCCCTGGGCTATTGATGGGGATGCTTCTACACTTTGCACCATGCTTCCTTGGCTCTGCCCAGTGGGGCGCAGGTCCACACCAGGCCCCCACTCGCCCTTCTGCAGCCCCTGGCCGAGTCTTGGATGGGAATGGTCACTGCAGCCCCCAGCCGAGTCCTGGATGGGAATGGTCACTGCATTCGCCCTGTTTCCTCACATCCACTCGGGCAGATCCACGGGGTCTCCCCGGCACATGCCAGTGGTCTCTTGGCCTTGCAGCAGAATGAGCGGTTCGGGCAGACGAGGGGAGGAGGCAAGGGCTGGTCTGCGAGAGCCGTTGCTCTTCTTCAGGGGAGGTGAGTGAGTGATGAGCTTCCTTTCCTCCGCCTGGCAAAGGAGGGCGTGAAGACGGGCACTCTGACTGTGGTCTCTTGGTCGCCAGGGCCTTCCTGACGGCGGGTTTCTGTAGCAGCTCCACGGCTGGGCAGGAACCCTCCGGTGATGGGCTGGAGTCTGTGGGTGTGTGAAGCAGGACGAAGCACCCCAGAAGTGTGGAGAGCTGCACTGGTGAGCTGCCTTGGACAGGTCCCATCTGTTTCACGCTCCAGAGTCACCTGAACTCTCTCTGGGGCCAGCAGGCACATCACGGCCCCTCTGCTGGATACCACTCCCACACCAGCAATGCGGAGCTGGCAGAAAGATTGTGGGAGGCAGGGACTCGGGTCCGGCTTTCTCGCGGCCATATGTGCACCTTTGTCGATGCATGTGTCCTTTCGGGGGGGGGGGGGCGCGCGAGTGTCTTTCTGCACGTGCACCCATGGGGGACGGCGCTGTTTCTCCACCAAGAGGGGCGCCGCGGCTGGCCAGGGGTGGCCACACAGTCCTCTGGGGTGAGACCCCCGCAGGTAGGATGTTGCTGGAGGTGTTACCCTCTCTATCCAAGGGGGAAGGGGCTAGAGGAGGGGGTGGGGGGGTCAGGACCCTGATTCATCCCAGAAATCAAACTGCAGGTTCCAAGGAAGCACTCGGAGTCCCCCCACCCACCCGCCCCAGAGTTGACTCCCAACTGTGAAAGGAGGTTTAACAAGTCCGGAAACGTTCCACCCTGGCTGACACCGAACCTGTGCTCAGAGAGCACTAGGAAAAATGGGGGTTAGGCACTACGAAGGGGGGGCTTTGCCCAGATCCAGCCTGGGAGGAGCGTGAGAAAAGGGGAGGGACGCGGAACACCCCCAGCCCTTACTGGGTCCAGACCCGACCCGGCCCGAGGGAGGTGTGGGCGACCCAGACAAGACAGATGACAAGACAGACAGCAGGCCACGACACCTCGGGCACTGGCAGCTGCGAAGCACGAACCTGACGCCTTCCTGGCTGCCCTGCAGCTGCCCCCAGCCCTTGGGACGCACTCTGTAGGAAGAGGTATGGGGAGGGGAGACGGGGGTCCCATCTTGGGCTTCCTGGGTCCCAAGAGAACCCCCAGGGGAGAGACAGGGGGTGGGGTGGTGAGGGTTCGGGAGAATTCTCTTTCGTTCGGCAGGGGATGAGGGGACGAAGCACCTGAAACAATGCCCCGAGGGGCGTCTTTTCAAGACCCAGGGTCTTCACAGGCGTGACTTTGGCTCAACTGCGGTTCCCAGGAGGGGAAGGGCAGGGCAGGGCGGGGCGGGAGGGTGGTGCTGAGATGGGCCCTGCCCTCCGCGGCCCGGCCGCGCCTTCTCCCTGGTACATAGGCGTTCTCTGTTTAAAATCTGTATATAATATATATATTTATATTCTGTATATATATATATATATATATTTATAGGGTCTATGTACACGCATTGCACGGTCTCCGCAGCCTCCCCGCTCCTGCCTGCTCAGTGGTAGCTGTTCCTCTTCTCGTTGCTCTCGGCCGTGGAGTCCCGGGACCGGATGCCGTTCTGGAGGTTGATAAGGGAGTCCTTCATCTGCAAGACAGGAAGCCCTGCACCTGGGTGGGCGTCCTCGGGGGTGGGGGTGGGGTGCTTCTTCATCCAGCAGCACCTGCCTCCCACCCCGCCATGTGCAGCCTCAGGCTGGAGAGGATGGCCACACCCCTGTGGGTGCTCAGAAACTGGGCTGCCCTTAGCTGCGTGGCTGTGGGTGTGCTGGGGTCTGCCCTTCTGCCACGCACCCTGCATGCCACACCGAGACCGTGGGGTGCCCTGCACCCCCATCACTGCACTTGCTCAGCTGCCTGCGTTTCTTTTCTTTTTTCTTTTTGGGTGACATCCGGTGATGCACAGGGGTTACTCCTCTCTCTGCACTCAGGAATTACTCCTGGTGGTACTCAGGGACCCTATGGGATGCTGGGGATCGAACCCAGATTGGCCGCGTACTAGGCAGACGCCCTCCCTGCTACAGCCCCAGCATTTTTCTTTTCTTTTCTTTTCTTTTCTTTTCTTTTCTTTTCTGTCTTTTGTTTGATGGGCCACACCTGGCGGTGCTCGGAGCTGACTCCCCGCAGGACTCACTCCCATAAAGGGATGCCAGGGATGGAACCCAGGTTGGTCGCATCTGCCAACTTGCCAGGCAAGTGCCCTCCCTGCAGTCCTATCCTCTGGGCCCCTGCCCTGGTTTTCTTACCTTCAAGATAAGGGACATGAACGCTGCTCGGTCCAGGGGTGGAGCCTAATATGCTGTGGGACCACCACCTGGTCCAAGGTCTCGAATGCTGAATGTCCCTGCTCTCTGCCTGATCCACCGCCTTCGCTCTGGCTCTTCTGAGCACTGGGCACTGATTCAGGATTGCCCCTGCCCCCTACATCCTGGTGCTGGCAGATGGGTTTTGGCTTAATTTTTGTATAGACAGTTACAGTCTCGAGAAACCTAACCCTGAGATAGATTTCTGGCGTTGCAAGAAACTCCAGAAGGGGGCGCTGGAGCGACAGTACAGAGGGGAGGGTGTTTGTCTTGCACGCGGCCGACCCGGGTTTGATCCCCCGCATCCCCTAGGGTACCCCGAGCACCTCCGGGAGTGAGTCCTGAATGCAGAGCCAGGGGTAACCCCTGTGGCTCATCGGGTGTGACCCAAAAGAAAAGCCAAGAAAAGAAACTCCAAAAGCTCTACGAGGTGCTGGGATCCAGGAACACATCAGGGCACTTCTGCATGGCCACCGATTGGGATGGGTGCTGTCAGTTTCCAGCTGGAGTCACAAATGGAGGGTTGAGAAGTAGGGGGCAGCAGATCGGGCCCCTGGAGTTTGGGGGGAGGGCTTCCTGGGGAGCTGGGGAACTCTCTCCTGGCTTGCCCATTGTCTGTGAAAGATCAGGGGCGGGGAGGGGGCAGCTCTACCTGATCGAGGAGCATCACAGAGGAGCGGATGATTTCTCTCCATTTCTGGAGCTCCGTGTCGTGGTACTTCTGTTGGGACTCTAGGAGCTGGGCCCATTCTGTCTGGGACTGGGGTAACCTGTGGGTTAGAAGAAGGGGCGCCCCGGCAGCTGGAGTTACGCTCAGCAGACCGTCCTGTGCTCCCAGACCCCTAGAGAACAGAGACGGACATCAGAGTGCTTTGTCCTCTGACCGCGCGCCCCTACGCCCCAGGGCCCCAAATCAGAAGCAGGCGGGATACGGCGGGGGCGGCTGGTAGTACTGGGCTCTGCACGCGGCTGAAAGAGTCTCCCCCCCCCCACCGCCCCCCCACTGAGGGCCGGCAGCAGCGCCCCTGGGAGGAGGCACAGGGCAGGCCAGGCGGACAGAGGGGTCGGGGCAAGGGGCCAGGGGTTACCTTTCCTGGAGCCGCAGCCCCTGCCAGGCGGTGAGCGTCTGTGTCGTGTATTCCAGCATCCAGAGCTTGTAGAAGAGCATCATGTTCAGGATGACCAGCAGGACCAGGCTGGGAAGGGGTGAGAGAGAGAGAGAGAGAGAGAGAGAGAGAGAGAGAGCAGAGGCCATGAGAGCTGCCCCGGGCCAGTGGCGTTGCCTCCCTGCCAGCCCCACCCCCGAGGCAGCTCTCTGGCATCCTGGGTCCCCACCCCCCTGGAAAGAGGGACTTGAGCGGGGGGCCAGGGGGTGGCAGCGAGGGCAGAAGGCACCGCGCGGCCCCCCGAAGCCTGCGCACGTGTGGCGGGGAGCCCCCTGGAAAGGAGACACCCGCGAGTCCCCAGAACCTGAACCTGGGTGCGCCAGGAGCGAGACAGGAGGAAGGAGGAGCAGTCAGCGCCAGTACCTGAAACAGATCCTACCGGAGCAAGGAGGAAAACGGGAGGAGACGGAGGTTAGAACCGACGGGGAGAGAGCCAAGAGCGCCCAGGAAGGAAGGCCCGAAGCAGCCCGCCCTATTCTGGGGGTGATGGGGGCGTGCAAATTCTTCTCCTGAGCTGCCTGCCTGTTGCCTTCTCTGCCTGGTACCTGCCTCTTGGGGTGGGAGATAGATCCCCCAAGGGGACCCGGCAGGGTCAGGAGAATGAACAGGGTGCTGGGGGGAGCACAGGACATGGCTATTCAGAGGCTTACAGAGAGGAAGACACAGGGGTTGGGGGGCAAGGGAAGGAGGAAACCTCATTCCTGTCCTGTTTCAGCTGGGGGCCAGGATCAGGGCGGGCCCGAACACAGCAAACATTTTATCCAACTTTCCTGCCACAGGGGTCCCAGACTGCACAGTGCGGGGGTCCGAGAGGCATAGACTCCCCTGCTGGATCCCCACCCCCTCCCCCAAAGAATGTAAGGACTCCCCAAAGGCCCGTCAAATGGCATCTCTGGGTGAGATTTCTCCAGCGGTGAGGCTGGTTTGGGGCTGCTTTGGGGCCACGGCTGGTGGTGTTTGGGGCTTACTCCTGGGCTCTGTGCTCGGGGTTTACTCCTGACTCTGAGACAAAGGACTGAGACTCCTGGCAGGACGCAGGGGACCCTCTGGGGTGCTGGAGATGGAACCCGGGTTGGCTGTGTGCAAGGCCCATGCCCTAACCACTGTGCTATCTCTCTGGCCCCTGGTGAAGCTGGAATGAATGCCCTTCCTAGTTTTCCCACTAGGAATGCACTGGAGGCTGGTGAACCCGGGAAAGGAAGCCAAGAGGCAAAGCCTGACAAAGGAGCAGGGGGCGGGGGGGGGGGGGGGGGGGAGAGACAGAGAGAAAGAGAGAGAGAGAGAGAGAGAGAGAGAGAGAGAGACAGAGACAGAGACAGAGAGAGACAGAGAGAGGCCAGAGTGCAGCGCAGATGCCCAGGATCCCGTGGGGGGTGCTCTCAGGCCTGGACACTGGACAGCCAGGGTGGGGGGCATGGGGGTCCTTACACACAGCTGATCACCAGCAGCAGCTTGGAGACACTGTGCAGGTGGAAGCCAGCAGGGGCGTCCTCAGGGATGTGCCGGGTCTGAGTGGAGCCTGTGGGAAGAGGGGATGCTGGGTTCCGGGCCCTGGGCCCAGCCTGGGAGGGAGCTGTCCACGGTGCTGGCAGGGCACAGGAGCAAACCCAGGGGTGGGGGGGCGGGGAGGAGGGGAGTGTGAAGGTGGCTGGACGGGACGGGGCAGGGACAGACGAGGCAGGACAGGGAAGCTTCAGCTCTGCACTCGGCCACTCTGGCCAAGATCTCGGTGATGGGAGTCACCGTGTCCTGTGGAGCAGCCCGTGTGCAAGTGACAAGGGGCCGAGGAACGGACACAGTAAAAGGGAATTAGACCAAGCGTCTGGGCTCTTGGGCTTGCCATGCTCTTGGTCCCAGTGGTCCGAGCACACACCTGCCACATGCTTGATCCGGCGGCCCACATCCTCGTCCGTGGGGGTGGTGACCGGGCTCATCACCTCCTCCAAGTGTGGGACCCGCAGGTGTGCGTGGGGCCGCTTCCTCCTCCTCACAGCCGCAGGCTTGCTGGCCTTCTCCTTGGGAGACTGCCGGTGCATCTCGGCCAGGTATGCGCTCTCTGTTTTGGTCAGCTCGGTCTCTGACGAGACAAAGGGCCAAGTTGGGAACCGGGCCTTCCTATACCGTCTTGCAGGGCCATGTCGGGGACCTGAATTTTCTGTGCCATCCTGCTGGGGGCCATGGACTTCCTGTACTGTTGTGCACAGGGCGACGTTGGGGACTGGACTTTCTGCACGTCTGGACCAACCCGCAGACCTCCAGAGGCCACGCTGCTGCTCACGTGTGACCATGTTTTCTTTTTTCCTTTTTTTTTTTTCTGTTTTGCTTTTTGGGTCACACTCAGCAATGCTCAGGGGTTACTCCTGGCTCTGCGCTCAGAAATCACTCCTGGTGGTGCTGAGGGGACAATATGGGTTGCTGAGGATCAAACCCGGGTGACCGTGTGCAAGGCAAACGCCCTACCCGCTGTGCTATCACTCCAGCCCCGGATCAGGTTTTCTTGAAGGGAGCCACATCCCCCACCTCTGCTCTGAGAAGCTGCCCCAAATGCAGGGCTCTGTCTGACCCCACCTCATCCTGCCGCTGAGCTGGAGCGAAACCCTCCTGTAGGTGGTTCCTCAGTCTGCAGCTGGGCCCAGATGCCGGGGTCATATTCCCCCCCGACTAAGGAAGTGTCCCTGGACTCTGTCCTGCTCCCCCGGGTCAGGGTGACTCATGGAGCCTCACTAGGGGGTCAGGGAGGTGGTTCCAGGCTGTGACTTGCTTCACTCAGTCCCAGCTGTAGGTGTGCAGGACTCCTGGGTGCGGGCTCCCTGGGTGAGCGGTCCCAGGGTGCAGGGTCCCTGGGGTGTGGGGTGCTCACCTAAATGGCGGAAGTAATCCTCCAGCCCACTCCAGAAGTTCTTCTCGATGAAGGATTTCACCAAGCCCCAAGGCTGTTTCCGGTAGCGCAGTTCCGTGGAGATCCTGGAGACCCGGACGACAAGGTCAGCACTTCCTGGGCAGGGGCCGGGACTGGAAGGGACTCCCACTTGGGCAGTATCAGTGCTTCCTCTTTATCTTTCTAAGTGTTTTTGTTTTTAAGGCCATACCCAGCAGTGGTCAGGGGGCTTATTCCTGGCTTGGCGTTCAGGGGTCACTCCTGGTGGGCTTGGGGGAACCTCTGGGGCGACCAGGGGTCGAACCCGGTCAGCTGTGTGCAAGAGCAAGCACCCTCCCTGCTGTGCTATCACTCTGACACCCTTCACTGCTCCTCCACCCCCAGCACCCTCGGGGTGATTCACCCTCACTTCGGGTGAGAAACGGAAAGCTGGTACTTGGCGTTCATTCCCCTCCCTTCCGGCTGTTGTGATGGGCGCACACGTGGTTATGGCACCAGGGATCCCAGACGGTGTCAGTGGGGGGTGTCACATGGGCCGGTGCCAGGGATCTCACTTAAGCGCCAAGAGCCGTCCCGGGGCCCAGCGTGGAGCCCACCCAGGTTCTCCGGAGTTTCTCCTCCTGGGCACACACCCGAAGGTGCCACGAGCCTGCCAGCCCTCCAGCCGGCCAGCCTGGCTCCTGCCTCTGCAGTGGCCCCCAGGCCTGTCCAGGGCTTGTTCCCCTGTATGTCCTCCACATGTCTCCTCATCCTCACAGCCTCAAGCCCCCTGGTGCCCCGGAAGAGATCCCGCCAGCTCAAGCTCTCATGATTAGGCTGCCCACCCATAGCTGGGCAGCCTCCGCCATAGCTGAGGGCATGTGCCTCCACCAGGTGCAAACTCTCTTCCCTGCTCACATTTGTTCCTGGGACGAGATGGGCACCTGTCTGTAGAGGTAAAAGCTCCACCCACAGGGACCAAATAGCAAGGATGCTAGTTCAGAAGCCCCTGTGGGTGGTCCGGAGCAATAGGACAGTGGGTAAGGCGTTTGCCTTGCAAGTGGCAGACTCAAGTTCGATCCCCAGCATCCCACAGGGACCCCCAAGCAGAGCTGGGAGAGATTCCTGAGTGCAGAGCCAGGAGTAACCTCTGAGCTTCACTGGGTTTGCCCCCCCCCAACAAAAACAAACAAACCAAACCAAAAAGTAACAGCAAAAAAAAAAGCCCCTCCAGGAGCTGAGATGTGGGGGCTCTGCGGGGAATGTTCTGGCGGAGGAGGAGGAGAGGAACGTGGAGGAGGGAGGAAGCTAAGTGAGGTAATGCTTAGAGGGCGGCACAGCAGCTCAAGGGAAGGAGAAAAGAGAGAGCGAGAGCGAGAGCGAGAGAGAGAGAGAGAGAGAGAGAGGGGAGAACATCTTCTGGACACCGCAAGGATGCCGCGGCTGCGTGCCACCAACACTGCTGGGGGTGTTTGCAGGCGGGCACCCTGCCTCTCACTGAGCTTCTGAGCGACCCGGTCAGAATCTGGGTTCCTTCCTCTGAATGCCTGACTCCAGCCGCAGGGGCAGCCCAAATCCCACCCCCAACCAGACCCACAACAAAAAAGATACACACACACACACACACACACACACACACACACACACACACACCCATGAAAACCAAGAAGTCCAGGTCCCTTGGTGGTGCCCCCAGCAGGAAGGCAGGGAGCTGAGAGCAGGAGGAGAAGGAAAAGGCCAGAAGGGGCAGAAAAAGCGGGAGCCGGGGGCTGGAGTGATAGCACAGCGGGTAGGGCATTTGCCTTGCACGCAGCCTGACCTGGGTTCAATCCCCAGCATCCCATATGGTCCCCTGAGCACCGCCAGGAGTTAATTCCTGAGTGCATGAACCAGGAGGAACCCCTGTGCATCGCTGGGTGTGACGCAAAAAAAAAAAAGAAAAAGAAAAAGAAAAAGAAAAAGTGGGAGCCAGCAACCAGAACGCAGGTGGGGTCCTGGGGGCCTCCCTAGCACCTGGGCACACACAGGCCAGGCTGTGCCCAGGGCAAGGGGCACCAGGAACCCACCTGACACCCCACGTTCCCGGGACCTCAGATCCTGGCAAAGTTATGGAAATGACAGGAACCTCTGTTTTCTCAGCTAAACCAAGAGCACCCCCACCCCCGTTTTCGCTTTGGGTTGCTGGAAAGACCCCAGTCCACACTCCAGGCTTTCTCTACACCCCCAGGAACCAGCAAGGTGCTGAAGGACTTTTGGAGGGCCTCCAGAGTCCGGGAAGAGGCTCTCAGAGGCGGGGAAGCCACCTCCTCCTCCCGCTGCCTTTCTTGGCCTGCTCCCCACCACCCCACCCCCGACAGGGCCCCCCACCCCAACACGCGCAGGAAGCGGCCCCCAGCCCGCGAGCACCTGAGCCGACTCTTGTTCCGAGCCACGCGGGTGAGGGTGTAGCGGTTGATGGTATAGAAGTAGTCGTGGTACGGCACGTCGTGAGTGAGGACCTCGGCGTCCACCACGTAGCACTCGCTCTCCTGGCTGGCCTTGTACATGGTCTGCGGGAGGAAGGGAGGGAGGGAGGGAGGGACGCCGTGGGCAGTGTGCCCCTCCCCCGCTGCCTCCAGACCCCCCTGGGAGAGGCCAGGCGGCGGTGGACCACCCCCCCCCCCCCGCCAGCCACTCTGCTCCCAGGCTCACCTGCGTCTCCCTGACGGTGGCACTTTTGGGGGCCAGGGGGTTGGTGAGGGTGATGGTGTAGAGGATCACTCGGCTCTGGTCCCCGCTGTCCTCCTTCTTCCAGGGGTGGAAGATGATATCTGGTGGGGGGAAGGGGCAGAGCCACCGTGAGCCGGTCTCAGGCGGCCCCCGGGCCAGGGCGGGCAGCCTGGGGGGCAGAGGGAGCCCCTGAGAAAGGCTCATTGTGGGTCTGCCTGAATTCTGCACAGGCCCATTGTTCCCGGGGTCGGGGGCCACCTACGGGGCTGCAGGAACACTGGCACGACTGTGGTGAGGGCCTGGGAGCTGGGGGACGGGCCTCGCCCCAGGAACCGCCCGCCCGTGGCCCCAACGTGGCCTCTGCTCCCAGACCTGGGGGTTGTGGGGGGAGGGGTGCCCGCCTGCGTTCCCACAGCCTGGGGAAGATGAGCACGGTCACCTGCCAGTGTCCCTGTGGAGGGCAGGAGGGGAGGCCCGGCAGGTGGCAGGGGCCTGATGGACCCACTCGTGAGCCCGAGTCAGCCGTGAATCGTGACCCAGGCCAGCACTGCCAGAAGCAGTGGGCATGAGATGTGGGGCACTCTGGGCATCGTGGGCAAGTACAGGGGCCCCGGAGGGGAAGGAGCGGGGCCCAGTCTGGGGACGGAGGGAGCACGGACCTGAGAAGCGGCGCTGCTCCATGAAGTCACGCTGGAATGGGGAGTCAGTGAAGAGGAGGTCATAGAGCTTGTCCACGCTGAAGTTGAAGACTTCGTTCACATACTGCCGGCCACTCAGGTCCTCATAGAAGGCCTGGACCTCCCCTGCACACAGGCGAGAAAGGAGACAGGGTCAGGCCTCGGAGGGATGCCATGGTGTGCTGCCACACCCGAGTGATCATGGGCTTAGGCGGTGACGGTTATTCCTTCCTGAGCTTCCTGGAGCTCATGGGGCAGTGGGTATGTGCATACATGGGGCACACCCGGCAGTGCTCAGACACGTATGTGTGTACGTGGGCCATACCCAGCAGTGCTGGGACAGGTATGTATGTGGGGCACATCTGGCAGTCCTGGGACACGTATGTGTGTACTTGGGCCACACCCGGCAGTGCGGGGACATGTATGTGTGTACGTGTGTACATACCATACATGCTTCTGGATATGCCGGGACACGTATGTGTGTATGTGGCCCATGACAAACCAATGCTGGACAAATCCACTGCCACGTGGTGGACCCCGAGTTTGGCTCTTGCCCTGGAGACTGTTCTGGGGAGGTCCCACAGGCCCAGCAGGCAGGTGACAAGGGCTGCTCAGACCAGACCAGACATGCAGCCAGGGAACGGAGCTGCCACTCTCCTGGGCCACGAGAACCAGGCCCAGACGTGGGCGACCATGTCACCAGGGCGGAGCTTCAGGAACAAGGGCAGGTGGTCCGAGAAAGCAGAATCATGGAAGACAGGAAGCGCCGCGGCCCCACAGCCTGAGCCAAAGTGCCGGCTGTCCCTGGGCTTCGCACTCCGACTCCCTTCTGCAGAGAAAGCGGAGTCTGCCCTGGGCCAGTGCTCGGTCCCCTAGGTGAGAGCCCCCCTCACACAGCCCACCTTCGTCGTGGGTGTCCGAGGAGTCGCTGAGCTCGGTGGGGATATCCTCGTTGTCGTTGAAGTCCAGCGACGGGGAGGTGACGGGCGCCGTGATGTCCAGCTTCTCCCCGATGATGCTGTCCATGGCCAGCTCCTTCTCTAGGGCCGCGTCCCTGTCCAGCACCTCCTCCTCCAGGGGCAGCCCGTCAAACTGCAGTGGGGACAGGGGTCACCTCTCTGCTCCGTCGGGAGGGGGTTGGGGGTGGGCTCGGGCGCGTGCTTGGCGCGGCTTCTCTGGCTCTGTGTCAGGGGCCCGTGGCGTCTGCCGGGGACACTCAGCGTCCTGGGCTGGGCGTCAACATGACTCTCTGGAGCGAGCCCCTCGGGGAGTTTCCCCGGAAGCCGCGGAGCAGGTGGGCCTGACCGTGAGGACTCTGCCACCTCTTCCCCTTCCGTTTGTCTGCCTAACCCAGGCCCAGGGAACAGGAAGCGCCACCCCTCGGGAACACGGAACCACGTGCTGGGAACTGTGCCTGCCCTTCTCCAGGCCTCGGGCACCGATGGCCCTGGCAGACCCTCCCTGGCCAGCTGGACACGGGGCGGGCTGGTTTTCACCTGCCCACACAGGCAGTGCCCCTCCGTGCGTCCCCCGCCCCCGCCCCAGGGCTGGGGCCACCTGAGCTGGGGACACGGGCCGCAGGCGTGCAGGCAGGCGGGGTGGCCGGGGCCGGCCACGCACCGAGACGGGGGCCTCGCTGCTCCCGGTGGACGTCAGGGTGCTGTTGGTGATGGACTTCTTGGGCAGCTGCGGACTGGCGTCTGGCTTGGTCTCGACGCTGCTCTTGGACGAGCTGTCGTTCACCTCATTCTCCTCCACGGGGATCTCCTCACAGTAGCTGCGGGACAGCAGGGGTGGCCGGAGGGGCCGCGGTCAGCACCCATCTCAGAACCGCGGCACAAGCCCCCAGACATGGGACAAGACCTTGCCCGGATGGCTGCCTGGGGCTTTGCCCCCAGCTGTGAGGTCCTCCCTCTGCAGTGCTCCCCGGTGAGAACGGAGGGTGGGGGGAATTTTTCTTTCCCTTTTCTTTGGGCTTGGGCCACCCCTGGCGGTGCCCAGAAGCTACTCTTCACTCAGGTCATTCCCAGCACTGCCTTGGGGACCCCCGGCCAGGGCGGACCCGGGTGCCCCTGCAGCCAGAGTGACTCGGGTCTGGTGAGTGCGCCTCGGTTTCGTGGTGGACATGCATGATGCTGCCCCATGCGAAATCGTCTTCAGCAACACAGAGGCCAACTGGCCGGGCATGAGCGGGCACACACACACTGGATGGGTGTGTCGGGCACACACTTTAGGTGCTGCTGCAACACTGGGCTGAGGTTTTCCTGGCTTTCTCCCTGACTGCAGCCCGCGGGCAGCCTGTGTCCACCTCCCTGCCCGCCATCCGCTCGGCACATGCAGCTCTGCTGCCTCGCTCGCGTGGTGCCCGGGCTCCAGCCCAGGGCTCATGGGCTCAGATGTGGGGTGATTCTGCCCGTCTCGTGGCTGTCCACTCTTGGCCCCACATTTGTGTCGAGTCCCCTGAGCTCACAGCATCCCCCCTCAGCCTGCATAAGGCTTTGCTCATCAGCTGACAATTCTCTACATGAGCCAGGAAGGCCAGGACAGCCCTGAAGACACCAGGGGCTCCTCTCATCAGCGGCTGATCCTCGTACAGAGCCGGCGCCCCCCTCCCGGCCCGACGGCAGCCCTGCTGCTCCCTCCTGGCCCACCCGCAGCCCCTCTCTCCACAGGCGCTGAATCACTCAAGAGCCCCTGACTATCTGCCCTTCCTCCCCCGTCTATGTGCAACTCAGCCCAGGGCCCTGGCCCAGAGGGAGGCAGCCTGGGGGGGGGGGGGTGGGCGGCGGGCGTCTCTTCCATCTCTCCGCCAACACCCAACACCAGTCGGGCCAAGGGTCTCAGTGCCAACTGAGCCTGCCGCCCCAGATTTCCTCTCCCCACCCCGCCTCAGCCCATGCCCTGTGCCCTCTGCCTGGGCTGGTCTTGCCCTTCCACTTCCTTCAGGGCCTTTTTAGAGGCCTCCCTGGGGAAGCATTGGCTGTGCACGCGCGCGCGCGCGCACACACATACACCACACAGTCACGCACATACACACGCTCACACACATGTACATGCAGACACAAATAGACACACACATGTACACACATGCACACATAGACACACACACCCACACACCCAAAGATACACACATGCACGCAGACACACACTCGTACACACACACGCACACATGAACACACACATAGACACATACACGCTTGCAAAGACACGCAGACACATACACACACACGCACACGCGGACACATACACACACATGCACATAGACACACATTCACACACAGATACTCAGACACAAACACACTCGCACACACACATGCAGACACATATACACACACGCACATAGACACACATGCATGCACAGACACACACACACATGCAGACACATATACACAGACATACACTCGCACACACACACGCGTAGACATACATGCACACAGAGTCACAAAGACACACATACCACACACGCTCGCACACATGCACACACACATATATGCACAGACACGTATACACACATGCACATAGACACACACACCACACATGCTCGTACACACATATACGTACAAGCACACAGACACATATACGCACATGCAATGCACACAGACACACACACATGCACACACATGTAAAATCTTATCATGCCGAAGGTTGTGTGTTCACAAAGGTTGTGTGTTCACGGGCTCACTGAATGGCTCTTTCTCACCACCTGCGTTCGGTGCTCTTGAGCCCTGTGTGTGGCCTGGATCAGGACGGCTGTTCTTTCTCTCAAGCTTGAGCCCCTCTCGCTCTGACTCTATTCCCCGAGCTTACAGTCTTAGTTTATATAGCAATCACGTAAGGCGTGACATAAAGGTGGGTTGAATATTGACAAATCAACAAAGAGATTCCTCCAGGAGATTAACTCAAGGATATAAATCTCATCTAAAGAGATTACTCCAAATTACTAGGAGATCCGCTCAAGGGTGGGATCCCAACAAGGGTGTGTTCTTCCCTCAGTTAGTAATCTACTTAAATAGTTTCAATAAATCTACTTCTAATATTTCTAGCAATGCCATTCTGTATGAGCATTCTGTATGAGATATAAACTTAGTTTGGTTCTTCCTGAGAACATCTCACTATACATTCCGCAGTCCTCAGGCCAGGTTAATTTTCCTAGCTCCAGCAGGGTCCGAGTCTCGTCGTTACTTACTTTTGGATCATGACAGCATTTGTCCATGATCGTGCCCTCAACTTATAGTTGAGTATCGTGGCACTTTGGCCTGGCCCATTTCGATGCCAGGGTAGCTCACAGCTTGCCCTGGGTCCATTCAGTCCCTCGTCGGGACCCTGCTTTTGGGGTGCTAGGAACTAAGGGCAACTGAGTCAAGAAAGCAGATGCCCAGGAGTAAATATTATTCGAGTCAATCAACTCCCAAGTTACAAAGCATAATATTAACTGTCTTCCTGTGTCCATACAGAAAGGACATTGCTTACAATACAAGTTCAGCGTCCTTAGATGGGTGTGACCCGATAAACCTAAGCTACCTGAGGAAGGACAAAACAGTGTTATCCTACACGCGTGCACACACACACACACACACACACACACACACACACATGCATAGCCCCTCATCCTGACACCTGCCCCCTCAGCCCTCCCTGCACCCCTCGCCGCCCCTCCCTGGCTCACCCCATCGTGTTGAAGTCGTCGTCAGGGGGCACGTAGTCCTCGTCGTCGCTCGTCAGGCCCAGCTCGTTGCCGTAGCACTGGTGCACGAAGTGCCACAGCTCCTTGGGGCACAGGGGCTGCGGGGGACAGGGGCCCTCAGGGGGGGCCAGATACCCTCCAGGTGACAGACTTCACTCCCACCCTCTCTCACTGAACTGACCAGGCATATGCCCCCGTGGGCGCAGCTGTCCCACGTCCACGCTCAGGGACAAGCCTGTGCTTTAGGGCAGAGGCTGGGCTGGGGCAGTGGGGCAGTGGGCAGTGGGCTGAAAGCCCCCCACATGTGCTCAGCTCCCTACCGGGGTGGCCGGAAGTTCCTGCAGTGCCCAGAGCTCCCACTTAAGTGTGGGGACACAGGGGAGGCCCAGGGGAAGTGAGTCTGGGGCAAGCAGGGGGTGCGTGGGGAGGAGCAGGGTCCTCCTCTCTCCCTCCCAGCTCCGTGCACCCTACTGGCTGCACACGGCGGGACCAAAGTGGCACAAATCTAAGCCGAGGGGGATTGCTGCTGGCCCCACCGGGCGTCGTGAGGGTGGGGCAGAAACGCGACTGTTCTCATCTGCATGGCGCCTGTCTCCCCCTTCCCACTGGACTCCAGAGCCACGAGGAAAAGGGCCTCTCTGGAGGCGGCCACACTCTCCCTGGGCTGATGCCCGGAGGAAGGACAGTTCTGGGCGCCCACGGGCCCAGGGCAGAGGGACGGCACTGACCTTCTCAAGGAGCGCGTTCTGCCAGAGCCGGAACATCATCATATACGTCCGATCCCGGGCCCCGAAGGAAGTGAAAAAGTGCTGGGTGGGAAGAGAAATGCAGAGACGCCACTTGTGAAACCTTCCTCCCCCCCTCCCCCCACAGAGGCACGGAGCTCCTTCCTTTCACCAAAAGTGACCGATTCCCCCCTCAAGTCCCGACCCATCACTGAGGACCCTGGCCGTGGGGTCAGCACGCGGGGGCCACTGTCCCCAAGTCCTTCCATCTCCACCTGCCCCACCTGAGGCTCCTTTCCCAGCGTGGGGTGCATCTGCTCCTACCCACAGGGTGCCTGGCACTGAGGAGCAGAGGAAGGTTCGGGGACCTGCCGCCCACTAGTCCGGGGACTGGACGCCAGCATGTGCCTGGCACGGCTCGCCAATGTTTGCCCGCAGAAGGGAAGGTACATCCCTCTCTTCGACGGGGGCGGTTCCCTGGTGGGGCAAGGTGTAGTCCGGACCCCCAAGAAGACTCCCGCCAGAGACAGATTCAGACCATGCCAAGTCCCCAACAGGGCTTGGTTCATGCCGTATCCGTTGTGTTCTGCACAAACACGGCCCGGTTCTGACCCTAGACTGACTTGGTCTGATGACCACAAACATGCTTCATCCTCTATTTTATCGGCGAACACCCCTCCCTCTGGCACATGGTCCATTTCCCAGCTCTCTGCTTCGCTGCTGCTGTTTGGGTTTGGGGGGGGCTCCTCCCAGTGCTGCTCAGGGCTTTCTCCTGACTCTGTGCTAGGGGACCACTCCCGGTGGGCTCGGGGGACCCTATGAGATGCCAGGGATCTAACCCTGGCTGGCCGAGTCCTCCCTGCTGGGCTCCCTCCCTCCGGCCCGAGACTCATCTCTTGGGAAGTCCGAATGTTCTGGTGGCTGTGCGAGCAGAGCCCTTTCTGTACAGTGCTCCAAGATTCCATGACGTCATTGGCCAGATGGATGGGGTGGTGCCTACCTTTTCGGAGTCAGTGCAGACTTGGATGGCATTGGGGATGAGGCGAGCTGTCTTCTCTTTCGTCATGGAACAGATGTCTTTCAATCGGACGGTCAGCTGGGACAGAGAGTGTGGGGGGGGGGGGCGGGAAGGGAGGTGTGAAGATGGAGACACCGCTCGGGCGGGCCATGGCAACGCTTCCTAACTCAGGCTGGATCCTCACTACAGAGCGCGCACAGGAGGGCCTGCGGGTCTCCCCAAGGGCCCCAGAGGACCCCGAGTCTGTCCAGGCAGCCTCGTGTCATGCTTCTACGGTTCTGATCCTGCACAGGGTCTGTCTGTGCGGCTAGTGGCGGCCCACAGAGGTGCTGGACAGGAACTCAAAGGACCAGTGGACCCTCCCTCACTGCATTCTGAGGCAAGGGAAGATGGCATAAGAAGGCAGGATGGGTCCCCACTACACGGCTCGCTGGCCCAGAACCCAGAACCCATAAATTAGAAGCCGGTCCTGAGCCTTGGGTCAACGCTCCCTGGTCTCTCCTGCTGCCTTCGAAGCGATTCTGGCCACGGATTTACCTACACCCGCCAATAGCAAATTCTTGGGACACTTCCACGTCCAAGAGGCGGCAGAGGGGGGCAGGGCAGGCCCACACTCAGCCCTGGGCCGGGCGTGTGCGTCAGTGACCTGCCCCAGAGCTGAGCAGTGTGCGTCAACCAGAGAGAAGGGGGTGCACTCCCCGGCCTCCGATCTTTACCAGGGTTTCCCAGCGGAAGATGTTGCTGTAGAAACAGATCCAGTTTTCAGAGAGGTAGAGTCGGCCTTGAAGGAGAATGTCTCTTTGGAGCGCACAGGAGTAATCTGTGATGGGACACGGGGGACGGGTGCTCAGGAGCTGGGAGCACTGTCGGCAGGGCAGCCCCTCTGACTGACTGCCTCCCCCTGGCTGCCCTCCAGGATGCAGGGCCTGAGAGGTCCTTAAAGGAGTGCCCCGTGGAAGGAGAAGGGAGCGGAAGGTGATGAACGCTGGAGGCAGAGGTGGGCCCAGACTCAATCAGCGTTCCTGCCACCTGCAGAGGTCCATGGGTGGGTGGGTTGGGGGGGAGCCCGCCCCACCCAGGGCCACCTGAACACTCTCTACCCACCACCACCGGGTGCCCGGCCACGCACACGCTGCCCTGCTCACCCACGATGAGACGCTCCGTGTCCGGAAGCTGCTTGAAGAGTTTCCTGAAGTCTTCATTTCTCTGCTTGTACGTGGGGCTCAGCACCTGCGGGACCGGGGAGGGGAGGGGGGGGCAAGCTCAATGCAGTTCCTCCGGGCTCTGGCACTGAGAGGCCCAGAGTCACAAGGACACCAGGGGCTGGGTTAGGTGCCAGGATCGGGGGCGGGGGGATTCGGGGTACAGGAACTTTGCCCTGGTGCCCCCCACGGAGGTGGCATCAGACTCGTTAGGCCGCATCACACTCTGCGGGGGGGGGGGGCTCCCCGGCCCCCAAACCCAACCAGATGGGCTCAGACCATCCCTCCCCGCTCCCTTCACCCAGAGCTGCCTGGCTCACTTGGTCACCACCCTCGTTCCGGAAAAAATAACATCCCGGTTCCTTGTACTCGGGTCCCCTTCAGAGTAGCCCAGGGGATAAGGAACCTCCAAATGATCTCGCAAATCCTCCCTGGGCATGCCGGGAGCCACTGAATAGACCCAGCTCCTGCTCTCATGTCGTTTCGGGGGGCTCTGGCCCAAAACGGCGGCCGGGTGAGGCACATGCCCGACGCCGAGCTGCACCCCTGCTCCCTGATCCCCCAGTTGCCTTTTCTGAGCTCCACGATGCAGAATACAAGAACAAAAGCAAAGGCAAGGGCTCCGTGATGGAAGGGCCCCTCCCCTCGCCCTGCCCCATGCCCAGCCAGCTTGTCCCCGGCACGGCCAAGCGTGTCTGCTTGCCCTGTCCGAGCCCATGTAGTGGCTGGTGGCCTTGGCCATGAGGACAAACAGGATGGCCCTTCCCCGCCCCCGGCCGTGGGCATCCACCAGCAAATGAGCTCGGGACGGTCGCTCTTGGCTTTCTGACATTCTTGGTCAAAAGGGCCAAGAGGACAGTGAGGCTGATGACCACCCCCCCTCAAGTGAAGTGGCCCAACAGCTTCTGGCAAGAGCAGGCAGGAGCCTCAGGAGTTCTGGGGGGCGTGGGGAGGAGGTGTGGGGGAGGCTGACACAGGTCTCCCTCGAGGCTTTCCGGAGAGGGAGAAACGGGGAGGGAGGAGTGGGGGGCGCAGAGGGAGGCAGGGAGTGTGAGCAAGAGCGCTTAGAATTATTTTAGACTTTACTTGAATTTTACTTGGTCTTTTTGCGCTCAGAGACTGCGGCGCCCAGACCCCGGGTCTCACGCACGCTGGCCAGAGGCTGCCATGCCACCGGATCCCCCAGCCCTGAGCTGAATCTCCAACGTCTGCTTCAGTGTATTCTGAGCTGTTCTGGCACTGCGGCCCGCCACCGTCCCCGGGGCCAGGCTCCACTGCAGACGTGCCGATGGCAGCAACCCCTGGGCCCGGCAAGAAGCAAAGGGCATCGGGGGGCTCCCGGGGAGGACAGCGCCTTGAACACGATGCCTCTGGCCTCCCAGAATCCACCTGACCCCCAGGGCCCTGTCCCCTGTTGGCTTCACTCCCCAAGGTGGTCGCACATGAGAAGCCCAGCTCGGAGCCGGGCAGCCTACACAGGGCTGGGGGTCGCGGTGCGTGAATGGTGCCAGGCAACCACTCAGGGCCAGATGGAAGCCGCGGGGGACCCCGGCAGGGAACACGCTGCGACAGGGAACCCCAGGACTCCACGGGTCTGCTGGGTCTCTATTGGCTGACAGCAAAGTCCCGAAGCTGAGATGCTATTAATTCCTCATGGCCCCTCCCTGCCCCCTCCCTGAACTTCTGTAGATTTGATGGTAACCAAGAATGAGGGCCCCCAGAGAGAGGGGGCAGGGGTTTGGCTGCTGTCCCCACACCGGAGGGAGACACACCGCGTCTTTCCCACTGGAGGAACAAGCTGTGACCGGGGGATCGGGACACGATTCAGCCCTGGGCCACAAGGCTTGCAGGCAAAGCTCGCCCCCTCCCCCGGGACAGGGGCCCCAGCTGCACTAGATGCCAGCAGACACTGAGCTCGCCCATGGACCCCCAGAGACTGCGCCTCACCTCTGCTGCTCCCCCCTCCCCGCTCCACCTCTCCCCACCCCGAGCTGAGCGAGGCTCCCGGACTCAAAGTGCCCAAAGGGCTTCGGGTCAGGGCAGGCCAGGGTTGGGGCAGTGGGCAGGGGGCAGTAGCGCACACTCACGGCTGGGATGTGCTCGGACCCGGGCCAGTCCCAGATGGGCTCGGAGCAAGCGCCTGCGAGCTGGCTGAGGTACCAGCCGCGGGCCGGGCCGTCCTGCTCTGGGGGAGGGAAGTGCCAAGGAACGTCGGACTCCGCCAGGGGCTCCATGGCTGCCTGTCCACTGGCCCGGGCATGCGGGCAGGGCCAGGGGCCGGGAAGCGGAGGGGCCGTGGCCGGCGGTTCCCTGTCGTCCTGCAGCTGTCCCCCGGGGAGGGTGTGGTCGGCGGCCGGCCGGCCAGCGACAGCGGCTCTGTCCCGCTTGGCTCCCGGGTGGGCCAAGGGTGGCCGGTCCTTCCGCCCAGGGCGACTCTGGTCCCGGTGCACAGGACAGCGGCTGTGGCCAGCCAGGGCGCGGGTCCGCTCACTGGTCACCCCCACGTGGTGGCCCCGGGCTCCTTCTCACTCTGCAGCTGCATCCGGGGTTCCCCCAGGCCCGTTCCCTGACGCGGCCTCGGCCAATGTACAGCGGGCACAGGGCGGGCGTTGGGTGATGAGTCACGTCCCTCCCAGGGGCCTGGCCCCCCCCACACATCCTTCTCCCCAACCCTTGCTCCTCCTGGCTGACCAGCAAACGGCTTCTTTGTTCGAGGCCCTGTGATGGGAGGGGGGGGAGGGAGGGAGGGAGAAGGGCGGGTGGGCAGGGCCTGGCCCCGCACATGCTTCAAGTTACAGGGTCTGGGAGATGCCCCGGCCAACGGCCTGCAGTAACCCTCAGCAAGAGGCCGGGCACCACTGGGGGCGGGGAGTTAGGCCACGCCAGGGCATAGCTGGGATGAGGACATCTGAAACGTGATGCCAGGCAGCCTGGGACACACACGCTACCCCCCCCCCCCCCCCGCCCCGACCGCTCATCCACCAGTCAGTCCAGGCTCCCTGGACGTGGGCGGAAGTGGGGGCCCACAGAGCCAGGGGGTGCCCCTTCCCCCGAGGACTGCCAAGGAGTCCCTCGGACCTGGCACCACATCGCACCAGACACGGAGCCCAAGAAAAGGCAAGGATGGGCGTCGGGGGCCCGGGGACCCAGGAGGGACGGGCACCAGGGCAGCTGGGATGAGGAGAGCCTGCCACATGTGGTGTCCCCATCCAGGGAGGGCAGCACCCCCCCCCACCTGGGCACAAGGGACTCTTTCGTCCTGGGGGTCTAGCTGACCTGACGTGACCCCACACGGACTTTCAACAACTCAGAAAGGCAACAGGGCAAGGGGGCGCCAAGGTCCTCCCCAGGTCCTGGGCTCTGCGGCCAGTGGGCACCCAGGCCATTTGGAACCATCAGCGCGTGCACACGTGCCCCGCCAGCCTGCCCCAGGGCCATCCTCTCTGGGCGACCGTTGGTGGCTCTTCCTGGAGCCACAATGAGGCCAACCGGGTGGGAGGGGCTGCGGGGAAGATAACCTGAGGGGGGCAGAGCCCGACCCTGCGCTTCCTCCCACAGCAGGGCAGGGCGGGGCAGGGCGGCTGTGCCCGGGGAGTTGGTCCTGGGCTAAACATTAACAACAGGGCAAACACTGGGTGCTGGGACCAAGTGGTACCCCGAGGGCAGCAGCCAGCAGGAAGCAGGTGGGCAAAAGTGGTACATGGACTTCTCAGGACTGCCTGCCGGGAAGCCTGCGGCCTCATGGAGGGCGGGGGACAGAGGCAGGGGCTGTGGACGGAGGACAGTAGGCAGGCAAAACTGGACAGGGGCCAGAGGACAGTGAACAGGGGATAGGGGCCAGTGGACAGTGGACAGGAACCAGTGGGCAGGACAGTGGACGGAGGACAAGTGGACAGGGGCCAGGTGGGGGCCTGAGGGAACAGGAAGAGGACTGGGGTGGGACACAGAGAGGCCGAGGAGGAGGAGTGGGATGGAGAGCTGGGTGACCCCGAGTCCATCAGAGACAGAGGCTGCAAAGGAGGAAGTGGGCAGAGCTGGTCAGCACGTAGGCCAGGAGCTGCCCTCAGTAGGTGGTGGACACCCATCTTTGTGGCTTGTGCTGAATCCACGGGGTACAGCAGCCGTCCACCCTGGGCCTCGGGCAGGGCACGACACTGTCACACGTCCCCGGGATGCCGAGAGCCAGAATCTCGGGCTTGAAGTCGCTGCCTCAGGACCCTGTGACCCGGGGCCTGGTCCCAACTCCCCGGCAGGACCCCCAGCTCAGCAGCTGCCCACGCCCCTGCCCCCACCATGCCCACAGTGGCTGGGGGCTGCTCCCCGCTTCTCCCCCCGCCCCCCCCCCACTGCCCACCCGCCCACATCCCCAAGTAGAGAGATGGGGGTACTCACGTTATACCAGCTCTGGCTTTTCTGCAAGGACAAAGAGAGGAAGGCAGGGTCAGTGGAGCCGGCCGCGGGTGCGGGCACACACACAGCAGAGGGGGTAGCGCGGGGCCCCCCTGGCCACTCGGCCACTCCTTTCTCCAGGCATCCCCGAAAGGAGCACGGGGGGGTAGCGCATGCCGGAAGCCGCCCAGGGCGGCAGCAGCAGTGCCCAGAACCTGGGGGCGTGGGGGGCAGGTTCTTCGGGCCTGGGGTGGGGGGTGTGGGGGGGGGAGATGTGTTCCGGGCGTCTCAGACATGTCCCCAGGGGGCCCTGGCCGGAAGTCCGTGTAGAAGGCGGGGGGGGGGGGGTGTTCTGGGGTGTGAGGGCAGAGGGGTTCCACGGGGCTTGGCCAAGCCGAGGGCAGGAAGGTGGGCACACATGCGAAGGCCCTCCTCAGCTTCCTGTGCCCCATCGCAACTGGGGGCCAGTCCAGCGCCAGGCCCCCCCCACCCCACTCTGGGGGGTGACTGTGATGCTTCAGGGAAGAAGGCGGTGAGGACAGCATCCTACACCCCCGCTAGGGAAGCGGGTGGGGGGGGGGCAGACAGGGCAGACCCTCCCCTCCCTAGGGGCAGGCTGGGGTCCTCCCGGGCCGGGTGGGGTGTAGGGGCCCCTGCCTCAGGCCTGGGCTGTCAATGAGTTTGAGTAGGGGAGGGTGGGGGCAAGTGGAGAGCATGACTGCGGGTCACCCCTCATCCCTTCACTAGGGAGCCCTGGGGTCTCCCTGTCCAGGGTGGGGCGTGGAGGGCCTGGGCTGCCTGCATGGCCATACCCGGGCCAGACTCTGCAGGGGGCCGCCCACCCGGCCCAAGGAGGGCTGAGAGTGAGGGTGAGTGGCCACGGGCAGGAGGTGGCGGCCAGTGGCTCAGAAGAGCCCTTTCTTGGCCCCACCCCACAGCCGGACACCGGCACAGCGCCTCCCGCTCCTGCCACCCCCGGGGGGAGGGCAAAGAACGGGGGCCCAGGGAAGCTGTGGGGGACCCTCCCTGTACCCTGTCCCTCAGCACCCCAAGTGGCCGCCAGAGATGCCTGGCGGGAAGCTGTGTCCTGCACCCTGGCCGCAACACGGACCCTTTCTGTTCCAAGAGGGGCAGCTCAGAGGTATGAGTTGCCACTAGCTCCAAGGACCACTCTGTGCCCCCCCCCCCACCACCCTGGGGCTCTGCTTTCTTCTTTTATTTTTTTGCTTTTTGGGTCACAGTCAGCCGATGATGCTCAGGGGTTCCTCCTGGCTCTGCACTCAGGAATCATTCCTGGCCGTGCTTGGGGGACCATATGGGATGCTGGGAATCGAACCCGGGTTGGCCGTGTGCAAGGCAAACGCGCTACCCGCTGTGCTATTGCTCCAGCCCCGGGGCTCTGCTTTCTGGGGACTGAGCCCAAGGGTGAGTCCCTTCGGGCACAGGGCAGGGGGCCTGCAGCCAGGTTCTCATGGGATTGGCCGGGGGAAGGGAGTAGGGGGAAGGGTCCCAGACAGGTGGGGGCGGGAGGGGGGGGTTGACGACCCAGCGGCTTCTACTGTCTCCGGGAGTGTAGCAAGGAGCCCCTGGGGCAGCCCCCACCCTTGCAAAGACTGGGGACAGGGCAGGGGGCAGGGGAGGGGCAGGCGAGCTCTACACCTAGCGGGGGGGATGGGGGGGACAGAAACTTCTTACTTTGATCAGCTTAAGTCTGTCGTACTGGAAAGAAAACCATACACATTAGGACTGATGCTCTGCGAGAATCTGGGCATGAAGCTGCCGAGAGGCCAGCAGCCCTGACCAGCACAGGAAGGACGGGCCTGGTCACCCACCAGCTGGGGACATGCAGCCCAGAAGGCAGCTGCTGGCGCCCTCTGCTGGCTGTTGGCACCACTGCGGGTCGGAGACTCGGATCCCGGGAGGTGGAGCTAAGCCCTGAGCACTCCAGTTGCAGGATCTAGGAGGTTACCTGCCACCAGGGGGACTGGAGACAGGGAGTGGGGTGGCCTAGATGCAGACGCCATCCCTTCACCCCTGCAGCCTTCCCATCCGCCTCCCTTCTCACCCCTGCAACCTGTCATTCCCCTCTGCCCTCCAGCTTTCCCTTCTCTCCTCACCCCTACAGACATCTACTCTCACCTCTTCATACCTCTGCAGTCTTCCCTCCTCTCCTCACCCCTGTAACCTTCTCTCCTCTCCTCACCCCCAACCTCCCCTCCTCTCCTCATCCCTGTAGCTGTCTCTCCTCTCCCCCCAGCCTCCCCTCCTCCCCTCACCCCTGCAGTTTTCCCTCCTCTCCTCACCCCTGCAGTCTCTGCTCCTCTCCTGACCTCTGCTGCCTCTCCTCCTCCCCTCACCCCTGCAATCTTCCCTCCTCCCCTCACCCCTGCAATCTTCTCTCCTCTCCTCACCCCTGCAGCATGTCCTCCTCACCCTTGCCACCTTCTCGCCTCCTCCCCTCTTCACACCCCGGGACCTTGCCTCTCTCCACTGCATACCCTTCTCCCATGTGCCTTCTGAAGTCTGGTGGTCCTACACGTACGTTTCCCTGACAGCACAGCCGCCACCCCCTTCCTTGGGGCATCTTTCCCTGTTGGTCCTCTTGTCCTCTCACCCACAAGGGCCCTTTGTGTGTGCTGGCCTTTGCTCTCTCACCGAGAGCCCAGGCAGGGAGTGGCCAGGGCTGTTTTATGGACAGCTGCTGTATGGGGCTGATCGCGGGGTCCAGGCAGGGGAGGGAGGAGCGAGACGTGGGGAAGCTCCTGAGTGTCAGTCACTTCAGGGACCCCATCCACCTGCCAGGAAGCAGGGGCCGCCCAGTGCAGCAGGTACTGAGGGTCAGGACCTGTGGCTTCGCAGGGCGGGGTGGGGTGTCGTCCCCAAAGGAACTGGGGCGGGGGGGAGTTCCCAGGCCAAGGCAGCTGTGGGAAGCAGGCAGCACACGGGGCAGGGAGGACAGGGCTACTCTCAGACTTTGGGGGCACCGGGCAGAGCCCTCAGTGGCGTCAAGCCTGCCTGCTGGGGGCAACAAGGCCAGCCTTGGGGACAGGGACCAAAGCAGGACACCGGCCAGAAGGGGCGGGGCAGGGAGCACTACAGACGACCAGACAGCGGGCAGCTGGACAGACAGAGGTGGCTTACTTTTGAGAGGCGCTTGTGAGACTAAGACCATGCATGCAAAGAAGTTTGGGGAGACGGTGGGAAGAAGAGGAAGAACAAGAAATCAAAAGGCAGATCCAGGCGGGCGCCCACCCCTCCCCTTCCGGAGGCCCCTGGGCCCCTTCCCCTCCCAGGCTGTGAGTCCAGAGCAGGGCTCCAGGGGGCTGGCAGTTGGGGGTGGGGGAGAGAGACCACCCAGTGCCCCTCGTCCTGTCTTCAGGGGCTGGCCAGGGGTGTCCGAGATGTACAGACCTGGGCACTGTCCTCTGGTCACCTGGGCCACACGTGGGTTTGTGCCCAGCTACAGTGGGGCACAGCCCTGCAGGGACCCCCTCCCCAGCACCCCGGGAGCACAGCCTGCGTATGGGGGGAGACCTCACCCCACCCTGAGTCAGGGCGCAGCTCACCTTGGAGTTCTTGCCCCCGCTGCGGCCGGACTGCGAGGAGCAGCTGCGCTGCACGCCCTGCTCCGGCGTGGACGGAGACTTGTCCGAAGAGTGGTCCGAGCCCTTCTCCACCATGGTTTCGCCGTCCGGGTTCTGGGGGGTGGGCGAGCGCGACCGTTTCCGGAGGATGGGGGAGCAGGCGGGCGTGCTTCGGTTGGAGTTACTGGCAGTGCTGCAGGGGCCAAAGGGGAGCGGGAGTGGGCGGGGGGAGGGAGGGAGGGAGGAGGAGAGACAGGTGGTCAGTCACTGAAGGCCTAAGCCAGGTCCCAGACTCAGCTGGGGGTGGGGGTGGGGGGCCAGGGAGAAACTGGGAGACCCTGCAGGCTGACTGCGCTGTCATACCGCCGCTGGCCAGGAGAGGGCGCCCAGCGCCATGGGCAGAAGGGGAAGGAGCCGTGAGCCTCAGGCAGGCCCAGATGCAAACCAGAAGGGCTGGAAACCTCCCCTTGGAGATCATCAGCACATGTCACACGCAAGTTCAGTGTCTACATTTTGTTTGGGAGGTACTGGATAGTAAGATGATACAAACAGGGGCTAGAGAGATAGTCCAGCAGGGAGGGCGTTTGCCTTGCACGAATGTGGCCGACCCGGGTTCGATCCCCAGCATCCCATAGGGTCCCCCAGCACCACCAGGAGTGATTCCCGAGCATCATTCAGTGTGTCCCCCAAACAAAAGCACACAAAACCAGGAATCGCCCCACTTTCAAAAACATCTCATACGCATGCTGCCAGCCCTATGAGCTGATTGCTGTTTCCCTCCGAAGCCCTGCTGGTGCCCGCCGGGGTGGCCACGTGTGGTTCCTAGTCTGTGCCTCTTCCCTTCAGGTGCCTGTCCAACCTCGCACCACCCACCACACCCAAACCACGCACACACATCAAGACTACGGGATCTCTGGGTATTTCTCTGCCATTTTGCCTGTGCACTGAACACAACTGGAAGAGAAGGGATGCAGGGGAGAGAGAGAGAGAGAGAGAGAGAGAGAGAGAGAGAGAGAGAGAGAGAGAGAGAGAGAGAGAGAGTGTGTCAATGCAGAGAGATGGAGAGGAGGAGAGAGACGGGGCTCAGACATCAGACACAGTGGTCTTCAGCCACTGGTCCAGACCACGTGCAGGAAGGCCCACTGTCCCCGGCCTTGGTTCTCACTGCAGGGCTGCGGGACACAGGACCCAGCTGGTCCGCAGGTGTGAAAGGCTGAAGAACGCTGCTCGGACAGGTGCGCGCTGGGTGTGGAGAGCACGGAAACAGGAAATGGGAAAAAAGTCATGGTGGGCCGGGAATGGGGCTGGGCGGCAGCGCGCACACAGAGAGACAGACAGACAGACACTCACACACAGAGACACATACACACAGGCATGTGAGGCCGTGGGCTGGATTGTGGAGTCACATGACTCCACTCCCACCCATATGGTCACCGAGCACCACCAGATATGACCCCCAATAATGAGGGGGGGGGGAAAGAGAGAGAAAAGAGACACACACACAGAGATAGAGACAGAGCGCGAGCGAATGGGAATGAAAGCAAGATTAACCAGAAAGCTGCAGAAGGACAGGGGAGGGGTGGAGAGTACCAGGGTCCCACCACCCCCTCACCCCCAGTAGGCAGCACCTAGGACCCAGGGCTGTCCAGCCGGGATGCTCTGTCCCAGGCTGCCGTAGGGAACAGGGACGCCGTCATTTGCATGGAGATCAGCTGTGACCTCAGCTGTCCGTTGGAACTATTTGCATCAGCATAACTATCAATCTGGGGTTCTGGATCCAGAGAACAGGAAGGAGCCCCGAGACTAGTCAGGCAGGGGAGGAAGGGCCGCATGGACCACCACGGAACACTGGCCACTGGCTTCGGGAGGATTCACAGAGCAACTTACTCAGAAATGCTCTTGAGGCCTGGAGTGATAGTATAGCAGGGAGGGAGTTTGCCTTGTATGCGGCTGACCCAGGTTCGATGCCCGGCATCCCACAGGATCCCCCGAGCACCGCCAGGAATGATTCCTGAGTGCAGAACCAGGAGTAACCCCTAAGCATTGCCGGGTGTGACCCAAAAAGCAAAAGCGAAAAAACAAAACAAAACAAAAAAATGCTGTTGTTTCCCACCATGGCTCCACCCACTGACCTGGACTCACACTCAGTTGCCCTGAGACTCCTGGCTGTGACGTCACATCATGGGGAGCCCAGGAGGGGGGGAGCAGCCCCTGCAAGCACACACAGGTGCCTTTCTCGGATGCTCATGGATGACCCCAAACACCGGGCATCTCGGACCCATTGAGCTGGCAGCTCAGCTCTGGTCCTGTCCTTCCGGAATGGCCATCTGCGGGTGTGGGGGCCGAGAGGAAGTCCATCGCTTGCCCAGCCCTGGATCTGCACTGGTCACTGAGGGTGTCTTCTCCAAGGGTAGGCGGAAATTCCAATTCACCCTGACTACCCCTGGCTGCGGGAATCTCACCCTGGATGTCCACGAGGGTCCCTCACGGTCGAGGGCCCTCTCCGGACTGCCCCAGGAGGCAGAACTTCTGCTTTCAACATCAGCCATAAAGTTTCCAGGGCACTGTCCCCCTCAGCCCTGCGCAGGAGGCCATCGGCCATGCTGTTCCCGAGCGTCCCCGTCCTCGCCTTCCTCCCACCCGGCCACTCTCTTCTCGGGCTCCTTAAGCACGCAGACCCTCCCCCACGGAGAGGGGGTCCTGCACTGTCCACTTTCTAGGTCTTTAACTCGATGGGAAGTGAAGCATGCCTCTGCCGGTGACACCTGTCGGTGTCAGCCCCAGATTAACTGCCGAGTGGAAATTTCTTCCCAACAAATTCTCCCCAACCCCTCCGAGGCTCAAAAACGAGCGTGTCATCTTTCCTCCTCGCCTCCGGCTCTGAGGTTGGCGCCCAGAGCATCCCAGGGTCTCAGCCGGGAACTGTGTATCCCACCTCATCCCATCGACCCTGAGCTGCTACATCCCAATCAACGCTTTCTACCAAGCTCCCTTTTGATTTGTTTCATGTGCTTTTCAAGAAAAGCAAGAGAGGGGCTGGAGTGATAGTCCAGCGGGGAGGGCTTTTGCCTTGCATGCGGCCAACCCGGTTTCGATCCCTGGTATCCTATACGGTCCTCTGAGCATCGCCAGGAGTGATTCCTGAGTGCAGAGTCAGGAGGAAGCCCTGAGCATCGCTGGGTGTGACAAAAAAAAGAAAAAAGAAAGAAAAAAGGTAAAGCAAGAGAGTTTTTATTACACAAAACTTCTTTGGAAAAAATGCGAGGAGAGAGAACAGAGAGGGAGCACATGTTTAGGAGAGAACACGGGCTTCTCTGGAGTGGTGAAAGCAAGCAGAGAGAGAGATAAGGAAGCGAGACGTGTGTTCCAGGCAGAGCATGGCCTGAAGAGCAAACAGCCACCACGCTTGAGCATCCCCTGCTCCCTGCCCCAGGGCCGCGGCATGCTTGCCTAAGACGCTCTCTCCCAAGTGGGGCTCTTCACCCCCTCTTCTTCTTGCTTATTTGCACACACTTCTGCCATGAGATCCTCAGAATGAGATCCAAAGTTCTCTGCGAGACGGAGAACAGGGACACCCAGCGACTTTCAGTGTCTTATGTCTCCTTCTACTCCCCAAGGGGTCCAGGGTCCTGGCCCTACACACCCGTCCCTCTCTGCTATGCCGGTCTCCGGACTTCTACCACTCGTGCCCTGATGGGGAGCATCCTTTCCCTCTGGGTTTTCCTGAGGGATGTCTGCTCGTGCCTCTGGGACCGTCCCAATTCCTACCTTTTTTTCTGAAAGTTTTTTTAAAGTCTCTGTGGATGAAAGCTTCGAGACTGTCCTGTCGGGAGTTAAGGCGTGGGCCTAAGGACTGTGGGGGTGCACCCCGGGCCCAGTGCACTGGCCCGAAGGATGGCAGAACCAAACCTCCCCAAAAGGGGCCGGGAGAGATCTGCCTCATGCAATGAGGCTCTGGGTTGAGGCCCCTAAAACAAACCTCCAGCACGAGCATGACCCACTCGTGCCCACGGCTCAGACAGACCCCAATTCCACGAAGCTCCAAACTATGAATATGAACAAAAATAGCCAAAGGCTTAGAAAGGTTTGTTTGTTTGTTTGTGGGGTGTTCCAGAGTAGTGCCAAGTGTTTATAAAGTGTTAATTCATCGAATCGAACCTCCTGAGGAAACTAGGAGATATTAATGGATATTACTGGCTTTTTTTTTCCTTTCTGGGTCACACCTGGTGATGCACAGGGTTTACCCCTGGCTCATACACTCAGGCACTCAGGAATTACTCCTGTTGGTGCTCAGGGGACCATATGGGATGCTGGGAATCAAACCCGGGTCGACCGCGTGCAAGGCAAACGCCCTACCCGTTGTGCTATCACTCCAGTCCTTTAAAAATAACAAAACCCCCAAAAACAACAAAATTATGATCAATCAAGTTGTGTTACTGACAAATCAAGGGACAAGTTCAAGCTGTACAGATGGGCTGTGTGCTATGACACAGGCCCAGATGATGAGTCTGTTCTCAAATCCAAGCATTCAGTAGCTGTTTATCAGGAAAATAATTGTTCCTGGTGGTGCTCAGGGGACCATATAGGGTGCTGGGGATCAAACCCAGGTCGGCCACGTGCAAAGCAAGCGCCCTTCCTACTGTCCAATGGCTTTGGCCCATAATTTGCATGATGACCATCCTGCCCTCTTCCGACTTCCTATTCCCATTGGGTCAACTCTGAACTCCCAACTACGGTGGAGCAGTTCCCCAATGTCCCGACTCCAGCCTGTCCCCAGGAACCTGGCCCTAGTCACGGGCACTGCTCCAGGCCCTGGTGCCAGGCTCTCTCTTCACACGGCGTGTCCACCTCATTCTCTGAAACGTCATTTCCCCCCTCTGGGGACACCAACCAACAATGACACCGATATTGAAAACTCAGTTGGTCCGAGTACCCACCAGCCTTGATCTGGCTCCAAGCTTCTCCCTTTCACTTGAACTCAGCTTTACAGGAAGAAATGCTTGTAGTTCAAAGTCAGCGAAAGCACTCCTGAACTGATGGCGATGCTGCCAGCACCTCACTGTCCCGGATACGAATGTCTTCCCGAGCAAACAAACCCTTCTCTCTGCATCTCCTAACACATAGCACGGTCTTTCAAATAGACTAGAAGACACCCTGACTCAGGCCCTGCCACCATCAACGGACGGAACAACG